TTCTCGCGAGGCGGGCCACGAGAATTCCATCGTGCTTTCCGACGAGAGTTGAAATTGCGCGGCGCGACGGGCGACCAACGCCCGTCGCGACGTCTTTTCAATGGAAAACGTATATGCCTCGCGAAACGAAGCAATCGCATTTCCGAAGGTACTACTACAAATTCATTCACTTGGACTTTGAGATTTGATACGCCAACGTTGAAACGACATTGTAATATAACCGTTGTACTTTGTATTAAAATCTCCGTGCGGAGATATTTTTTTACACGCAAACTTGTATTCGCAGAGGAAACGATAACCTTATCATTTTTTAAATAACACGCTTTTGTGTAACTCGATTATCGAAGGCTTCTTTTCTGAGTTTGGAGATTTTAAGACTTTTTTTAGTAATTTGTGTGAGGAGAGTTTAATTTCTTGCGACGATGGGCAGGAGGAGGATTTAGAGTAGTTTACAAGAATTCTACAGCTACTTTTCCAAAGCATAGAAGCATCCGAGAAAGAACTGTAGTTTGTAAGCTATATTTTTCTATTGTTCTGTATCGATAGATGGTTTCAATATAGCAGTCTAATAAAAAAGAATTAATCTGTACGCGTATTCTTCGAAATTCATCAAAGCCAATATGTAGTTAGAACCGTAGGGGGTGGGAGGGGGAGGAGAGGAGGGGGAAGTGCACGATATCGACGAAAGCTGCCGGAAGAGGTGAATCCGCCTCTCGTGCGGATTTTACATATCGAGAATATCTCGCGCAAGGTCTACGTCCCGACAGACTCGGGACACATGTCGGCGAAACCGTGCGGGATATTATTACCCGAAATCGGGTGCAATATCGCCGGGTTATGAATCCGCACGGATCCGAAGAGCGTTTCGAAGCGGATCGAGCGCGTGGGAGAGAACCTCGCGAGTTGACACGAATTCGCGTTGGTGGGCAAAGGAAACTCGGGGACGAAATTAAGAACGGGTTGATAAGAGAACGACCGTTCTCCGCGTGGGTTGCGTTCTTTTTTTTTTTTTTTTTTTTTTTCTTTTTTTCCCTTATTAGTTCGGTTTCCACGTCAACATTTCCCGGCCAAGTGGCCGACATTTCTTATTAGTTCGTCTCTTTATTGTATTTTTTTTTCTTGTTTTTGTTTCTCTTGTTCTCATTTTGTCTCAATCCCGCGGGAGTGACACGCCAATGCTTTCGTGCGAGCGTCTCTCCAAACAACTTACCTTACCTTCGTAGTTTGAGGAAATATCTTTGCAAGATAGTTTTATTTATTATTTTTTTATAGTGTTGGTCAACTTTCATTGTATCTTTTTTGTAACTTTGCGATGGTCTAAATAATCTTTAACAAGTGGCCCTAACAAATCCAGACATTAATATATTGCTAAATGATATTAAATATAATGTAAAAATAATTGAATCGTCAGTATCAATTAAAGAAAATTATACTTTGGCAACTCGTTTAAATTCACGACGGATTTATATGAATTCATTACGCATATTTCATTAGCTCAAATTACATTATATTAATTAATTAATCATTCTTTGGTTAAATTCATATTAATTTACTGTCTTTCATTGAACAATAATAATAATAATTATAAAAATATTCAAAATTAATATATGTTGCATGTTCGTCGGTTTCATCATGAAGATTCGTAAATTTAGCACAAAATTATTGAGATTCTTTTTGTAAAGCAAAAATACAATAAAAATGAAATTAGAACTTTTCTCACGCAACATTTATCGAATAGATACATCGAGCATAACAAACGGATTGTTTTCTAAGGTCCATTTTATCTAATGAGATAAACGATATCTCACCTTTACCTTCCGAGAAAATTTTCAATGTCAACAAAAGTATTGAAGCTTTTTTTATTTTGCCTTCGTCAGCTTTATCACTTTAGTATAGAAATGCGAGAAGTGAAAAGAAAACACATTTATCTAGTCTTAAAAGACGGACTTGTCACACAAGTACTCCCCCGATTATTGAATAGGTCAATCGATTCAACGATTCCCGAGGTCCATCCAATCGGATGGGGGTGATTCGCCTCCAACTGTCGCGGTGGGCACAGGTGGGTAGTGGCGGTGGTGGTGGCGAGTGCGTAGACGGGGCGGGGAGGAGGAAGCGGAAGAGGAGGAGTGCGCTCCGGGGGCTCTCTGGACTAGATCGATAATGCATCTCTTGGCGGGCGTAGTTCCTCTTAGTCACCGGAGGGCGATCGCACTTGCGAAGAGATATTCCTCGTTTTAAAGACACACCGACCGTTGCGGGAGAAGACGCTCTCGCCAGTGTCGGCGGTCCATCTGGCGTCTATCAAATCGCGTTACGTATGTGTAAAGTGAGATCTGGGGAAATACAATCACGTGGAGATAACTATTCAATCTTTTCTAGTCTGTTCTATATTCGAATGCGATCTCGTGCCCCCTTTTGAACGACGCTCTCCCTCCCGAAAATTCACGTTATTTGACACGATTTTCATCGCGCCTCTCGGAACATCCTACAGGTACGTACCGTGTCGTCTCGCTTTGTGAACGGTGCGAAAAATGTTCGAGAGTGATACGTGAAATTCCCTGAGTTATCGAACGAATTATACTGGAACCAAACTATTATCTTATCTTAACGTCGCATGCAATTATTGCCGGTATCTTCTGTGATATAAATCCTGGAAACGTGTCTTTGAACATTGTAAGTTGATAATGGGAATATTATTTCTCTTACATCATTTCTAAATAAGATTTTAAATGTTGTATTGAAATTAGTCTAGCGATTTTTATCGCTCTTCCGTTGTTAATTTCTGTTTAATTTTGAGAATTTCGCGATTTATTTTCGAAAGTTATAATGTAATTCGTGCAATAATCGAAATGTGTTTGATGTAAGAAGGAAAATTATAATACTATAATTCGCAAGATCCATTTTAAATATGACTTTGTATTTAAATCTTATGGATTGTGAAGTTGAGCTCGGTGTTATTCGTTTCCGAGATTTGAAATGATAATATCAGCGAATGCGATTCATTTCGTGACAAATAAAAATAATACGAGACATGAGAGACATAACGTAACGAATTTATTCGCGAATATCACCTCTAATTTTTCTTGCACTTATTCCAGAACCTCCTCAGGATGCGGAGATCGTAGCGGATAATGTAGCAGACAGTGAGGATTCCGAGGACGAGTGGGATTATTACCGTATTGATCCGAAGAAAGAGGAATCATCAGCGACAACAATTGTATTAGACGAATCGTGCAAAAGTGTTGAGGAGCAAAGTGCGGAGAATCCAGAATTTGTTGCGAAAGATAGCTCAGAAGTTCAAATTTCGGAAGTAGAGAAAGATATTAAATGCGAAGAACAATTAGTGAAAGATAATTCTTCATCTGAGCTTATAAACATCGATGTAAGTATCTATTTTATCTTCATTGTTTTATAAAAAAAAAAACCTGTGGTTAGTGGCATTTTGAATAATATTGCTATTTTCAGATAAGTGACGAAACAAAATCAACCGAATCCCAACAGAGTCAAAATCTACAAAAAGAGCAGAAACAAGAAGATATGGATTTCCAATTGAATCCGGAGGCAGCTGAGTTCGTACCGTTATCACCACCATTACGAAACACTCACTTCGAGGATCGTCCCATCAGCGGTTCTCCCTTGAAACAAACTCAAGCAATGGATGATATTCATGTACCAAGCCAGAGCGAATTCGAAAAAGAAGTTTCTTATCGACCAAAGGACGTTGGTGAAGATTTCTTACATGAGGAACAGTTACCTACAGGAGCAGACATACAGAATACTAGCTCGCAGAGTATGGATATATCCGAGATTTCATCGACCAAGGCCGAAATGGGTGACGACGAATCCATGATGGCGCAAATGTCTATCTCACAAACAGGCTGGCAGCCAGATATCTCTCATTGGAATGACGAATCGGAGATGGATCATTTCGTTTCGGACGATGCCGAAATGAAACATGATCCTATGGCTATGTCGTTCGCTCCAATTAATTTCGAGACGGAGCAGAAAAGTATCGATCTGAATGCCGTGCACCCATTGGACGACAGTTCAGATGGAGCTGAACATGGAAGCACGCCGCCGCGTTCACTCGAATTATACGTGAACGAGGATCGAGTGCGCACACCTCCGCTCTCGGACGAGGATAGGAGTGCAACCAATATTTTGTGCGCGTCAACGCCACAACTCCCACAATATTCCGACAGTAATTCTGAAGACAAGCCGGAGAGTTCAATAAATGAGAGTGAAAAGATTAATCTAAGTTCAGATATAAGCGATGATACAAGCCAAGATACAAACAGAGAAAGACATGTAGAAGCACACATATATACAGCCTTCGATTCATCTGCGAATAAAGTATTTAATGATATGTCAGACAGGCTTACTGTAGCGTATACTTCCTCCTCTTCTGAAAATAATACCAATTTATCAGTATCCTCTGAGAAACTTTCTGAGACGATATTGGCAGAAGACGTGAACAAACAAAAAGAGGAAGAAGACGTGAACAAACAAAAAGAGGAAGAAGATGTGAACAAACAAAAAGAGGAAGAAAACGTGAACAAACAAAAAGAGGAAGAAGATATGAACAAACAAAAAGAGGAAGAAGATTTATGTAAAAACGAGGATGCTATAGACACGCAGTCTCCATCAGCAAAAATGACATTTGAAGAATGTAAACAACTGACAAATCTAGAAAGGTTGCAGCATAGAGAAGAATCTCCAGATTTTTCAGATTCTTCAGATGCTCTTGTACCACATCATCCAGTTTTTGATTACGAGTCACCTGATTATCCTCCACGTATACCATGTCCAAAACCATTATTACCAGAACACGTAGGCATGCAAACAGCAGATATAAAAGAAATGTACGTGATCAATGATGATGTTCCTTCTAAAAGTATTCCTGAAAAAGATCTTTTTAATGAACCATCAATCAAAATCAATCAGGAAGAGCAGTCAAACCAATCTACTGATTGGACAGATTTCTATAAACCAGATAAAGTGATGTTGCACTTTGAAAGTCCTCAGACTCAAGAGTGTAATTTTTTATATGAAGATGGTCTTAAAATGATGAAAAAAATCGAAACAGAAAGTAAAGATGAGAAATTGCGTGATAAAGACGAAGATAACAACAATGAAGATGATAACAACGATCAATTCAAATCAACGGACAATATAATCGAATCAAATCCGCCTGATTTTATAGAAAAATTTACTTTTATGTCGGAACATGAGTTGCAACATGAAAATCAGACGACTGAAGAAAACAAGCCGATGGAAACTTTAATGATTGATACACAAACTGAACAAGAGCAAACGGAAAACAAAGCTGCGGAAGTTGCATTTACAGATGTCAGTAAAATAACCGAGCAAAAAATTGAGCTTGTTTCTGAGGATATCCTTCCGAAACAAGAAGAGTCTGTGGAAATATTATCAGATATTACGGTAATAACAGATCAACCTAAAGAAGTCACGGGAATTGCGGAAGAGACAATAGGAGCTGCCGTTGCTGCAACGGCAGTGGCAGCTGTTGCCGATGCCACAAGCTCTGCTAAGGCGAAAACCACTACGACAACCGCGAAATGTCAAACAAAAAATACAACAACAAAAAGAACAAAGTTGACAACAAAACCGCCCACAAAATCTACACCGACTTCGCCCTCCAAAACGATCACGCGAACAACAGCATCATTACCTGCACAGTCAATTGCGAAGAAACCCATTACGAATACTGCATCTCGGCCCAAACAACTGGACGGATCAGCAAAAACAACGCTCTCAAGCACCACTGCTAAAACTATCGCCACGAAGGTAACGACAATACCTGCAAAGCCTGCAACGACAACAGCGACAAAGACCAGCACCTCTCCTCGTTTGAGCTCCGGTACAACGAGATCAAAAACTACAACTACCACCTCATCGAAAGTGAGCACCAGAACAGTCGAAAAAAGACAACGATAAGTGGTGACACGAAACCCGCTAATAAATCTACCACCGCGAAACCAGCAAGTACGAGTCTCAGAACAACGACCACTAACGCGACTACGAAAACTACATTGGTCAAAACGTCGACAACCGCGAAAACATCGACATCCAATGTAACGTCGAAACCAAGACCCTCGTCTGCGACTTCAACTGTTAAGACCACATCGACATCGAAAGAGACAGCTGGTGTCAACGGCGTGTCGAGGCCCAAAACCGCTCCGTCTTCTGGCAATACACCTAAGTCGCGTGAAGGTGCTGGTAAAACGGTCACAGCCACGACCGTTAAATCACCATTGATCGACAAACAAAGTAAAGAAACAGTCAACAAGCAAATTTCCCGTTCTGGAATATCGACGACACCCAGGGTCGGTAATCGCGCCTCCATGCCTGCTAGTACGACCGGCGTCACGAAGTCACGCACATCGATCGGGAAATCAACCGGGAATGCTTCCGCAATCTCGCCAACGAAGAAGTCCTCTCCGACATCGAAGGCTGCATCGAAGACTCCTGAAACGAAGCGTATGATCTTGCCTTTGAATAACACGCACAAGACGCTGCAGAATGGAATTTTACAAGCGGTCGTTGCTTCCAAGGAGAATGCGATAACAGCCGCCGTCATATCGACGAGCGACAAGCCCGAGGATGACGTACCGCGGAAGGACGCGTCACCGGTGAACGTGCCGACCGATAATCAGCTGATTGCCGATTGAACGGTCGATCGGTAAGCTGCGAACGATCCGCCGCTTTGCGACGACATATGTTGGCCTAGGGATTACACGTCGTCGCGGATTTTACGTGAACGGACAAATAGGTTTCTCCTTATTATTGTTTAACGGACAGAACACGACCGCTCGTTCGGACATTCACTGGAGTAGTGTTTAGGGGGATATACATGTATGTCGAATTGAAAAAATTTTTTATTGTTCTTATGTGAATCGCGTACATATGTAAGAGATATTTACCTATCAACGAGAACGAGGCGTGCCCTAAACATTGCTTTCGACAGCTGCTGCCTTATCGTAATAAGGATCGATAGTCTTGTTATGTAAATATAATTCGGATGCGTTTTCATGCGTCATTATTTTCAACTGATCCGCGGGCTTGAGATTGTCTGAGGAATCTCAGACGGTGCTCGAGATGGCCTGAAAAATAGACTTTCAACTCTGATACGGCAGTACAGTTAATCTTTTAACCTTTAACGAAACTCGATAAAATATATGAATTTTTTACAATTTTTAATTTTGTATGCGCATTATAATTGATAACGATTACTCGCGACACAATTTTATCCGAATGATGAGAGAAAGAAAGAAAGGGAGGAGAGGGAAGCGTATATTTATTCTTGTTTGTTCCTATTTTTGAAGTTGAATTCATTGCGAGATATATATCGACTCGTAATATCATGATAATATAATGCTATCTAATCTATGTGTACAGCACCCTGATGGTTTAATGTGATACCCTACAGTACTATTAAATAAATTCGAATAATACAAGAGAAGCTAGAGGTTTATATATGTATATGAACAGAGAACAAGAAAACGAGTGGTATCCAAATGTTCGATGAGAAAGAGAATATTAAAATGGGGGAAAAAAAATGTCCTGCGAATGTAGTATTTCTTCATTGTTCTTTTTCAATTTTCTCTTACCAAATGTTTGGATCTCACTTTTCGTGTTTCTCGACGCAATCGACGTCGGTTATCGTTGTGCGCGTTCAAAGCTTTTACACACCGCACAAATCTCAATTCTCTTACGTTCGACGCTTCCACTGTTAGAGCACATGCTCGGACTGGCGATGTTCGATACAAAAGCTTCAGTCATAAATGGTTCTTTCTTCTTTTTTTTTTTTTTATTTTTATTCCGCTTGACCTCCGATCATGGAATATTATCTTTTTCGTCTAATTTTATCGAAACTGAGGCGTGCCCGCAGCACGCTACGAGCGTAAGATGAGCGCAGCGAGATCGAGAATGCGATTCATTTCTTTTTTTAAGACGAATGCGTTTGATACGAGAGGATAGGATACGGCGAGTCCTTTGCGTAGGTACGCGAGGGCACATAACACAATATGCGATATGATATGTATTCAAGTGCGGCTTTGTATCAACGAGAGAGAGCATAGCTTAGCGTCTCACGCGCGCGTTTCATATGCGTGTTATTCCGATTTCCTTGTGTACGCGTATTTGTCACTATTTTATTCCTTTTTTTCTCAGAATTTATAAGTGAATAAATAAATATTACGTTTGAACAGTGTTATATTCAACATTACGCTCCGTCGCCCCGTCGTCACTTCGTCACGATTCATTCCGCCTCTGGAATATCTCTGGGAAAGTGAAAGAAGTAGTGGACGAAGAAAAAAAGAGAAGAGAAACATTGTTACATTTCAATCTCTTTAATAAAATGCGATGTTATATAGATTGCTATTTAAATTAGGAACCGGCTTTACAGTCTCTTGTATGTACGCTTGGCTTTGACGTCGCTTTTGTTGGAGGATAGATGCTGAAATGGAAAAGAAGAAACGCGTGAACGCACTTTGTCACGTTACGTCATTGCTATTCGCACGTAATTGTTTCTATCACACTTACCACGACCATTCCGGTGTCGGTGAATTCATAAACTCGAATCGCTTTGAGGTCCGCGGATAAAGTGGTCTCCGTTTTGAAGCCGTTGCCCTCCTTCGTGGTCACGCTCTGGAATAGATATGTAACGATTGTAATCATCGGTCTTATTGTAAAAAATAACGACGAACGTACGACGGTACTCGGTCCTGAGAATGATGGTAGAACGCAAGATAGATAATTTTCGCATCGCGCGAAGCCCATTGACCTTTGCACCCTTTTAACCATCGTCGCCAGTTACTACCATCATGGACTTTTGTGCGAGAGGAGCGAAAAGAGAAGATTCACTTCCGTCATTTAGCAGACAATCCACGTGGGACTTTCGTAAGACGCGAAAAATTAATACACATGAAAGAAGTTTTATCTAATCATTTCCTACATGAGGGAGGAGCACCCTGTCCCGATATATCAAATCTTTTTCTCTATCTAAAAGTGGTAAGTTTCGTTGGGAATTCCAACTTTAATATCGAAGAGTAATTGTAAACTATCTATTAATCTTAATTTGTTGTTTGTATTTTACGACGTGACCTCTCTCACGGCCGCACTATCTAATCTCTCCGAGTCTCACCTTGAAGACGAGGCCTTGAGATGGAAGCTGCTCGTCGTAAACCTCTCCGGGCTTGAAGGTAGCGGTGACTGTCTTGCCCTGGCTGGTGACCACGACGACCCACTGCTCGCCGTTCTGTTGAATCTCCACGACCGGCGTGGCCTGCAGGAACGTATCGGCGAGGTCGGCCTTGCCGAGGCTCTTGATGTAATCCTCGAAGTTCTCGCCCGACACGTATTGATACTTGCCGACTATCTGCACCATGATGGCTCGTGAGGATTATATTGACTGGTCGTGTCACAAGTCAGAACTTGAATCGCCACCGAAGAAAGACGAACGGCGTGCCGGAGCGCGCCGGCTTTTATAACGACATCCGGGGGGGATTTCGTTAAGGGATCTCGCTAGTCCCGCGAGGGAGAGAAAGAGAGAGGGAGAGAGCCGCCGGCCAATCTGCGATGATTCCAGACAAAGTATTCGACAGATTATCGTCGACGGGCGGATAGAGACCGGCCGGTCCGTCTGCCCTGTCGTTTCATCATCGCTGCTGTGACGTACCCCTCGCGCACGGTGGTGGTGCGCGCGAGGGGCGGAAGAGAGGCTCCATTTATTTGCGTCCGCTTGCGGCCACTTGTACGCTGCTTGTCCGCGACTTACATCCTGCACTGACTCAGTAAATTTTAATGTCTTAAATGCTTTATTAGGAATGTTCCTGCTGCGACGGCACGACGCAGAATTATTTTTCTCGTTATCCTCCTTCATTCTGTGAAAATTTGAGAAATATGTTTCACTTCTGAAAATTAAATACTTTAAACCTTGACCTTGATCGAATCTTCCGGAATCTTTTTGTTATAAATTATTTACGTTAATATTGTTGATGTTTTTTTAGTTTGTCTATTATTTAAGATTTAATATTGTTCCTATAAAAATACGAGTTAATATTAACGCACATTTTTATTACGTTAAATATCTTCCATTTCCTTAGAAAGCAACGAGTAGAAAAAAAAATGCATAATGCAATATTATTCCAATAATGTCGATAATTTCCTTGTTAATTAAATATTAAATTCTCGAATCAATCGATAAAACGATCGTTAAAAGTACATAACAGCCATCCACGTTCCAAACAGTGTCCAAGTGTCACGTTGACACATTGACTTAATATAATAAAATATAAAAAAAAATTAACATTGTACAAACAGGATAATGAGTTTCACCGGAACGAACGGTCAATATTTGCGATCGTGTTCGCAAGACGAGTCGGTGATCTTTGAACTGACAGCCGTCATAATCGAATCGAGGAAGCAGTCACGATTTACTCATAGCTTTACACATCAGTCCGATTATCAAAAATCCTTTATCGCCCGTATCTATCTCTCGAGACTCTTTTCATAGAAGTGCAAACAGAATTCGCTTATCATCGGGCGGGCAAAGTTAAACGAACAGGTGGACTTATCGCGGTTGCACGGACCGGAGCTAATAATTTGAATAACACTTGAGACGGAGCACGTCGCGCGTTAGCGATGCGCGGATGCGAAAAGCAAAAATACGTGCCGTATGTTCGTGCTCGAGCGTTAAGCTGCACCGATGATGATGTGTCATCTGTTTGTTAACGAGCGTTTCTTTTTCTAAGATCCGATTAGGAGGGAACGAAGATTCCTGCTAACAGCCTACGTGATACGCGCAGGGAGTGAATGTCGATTGGAGACGCCTCCGTTTGCTCCGAAGGCTCTTATCCAATTTTACCGGATAGATGCAGATAATCGAGGCACACATAACGTGTACATATGTATTTATATCTCGGCCGAGGGTCAAGAGAACGGTTCCAGCGAGCGATGTCTTCGCGTTTCACGATCGCTAGATGAAGGCCAATGTTTATAGCTCGTTAATCACTACTGTGTGTAATGTCGTTTCCATTTAATCAAAGAAAAATGCGTCATTCTCGTGCAATTATTAATAACGGGAGAATCATATCACAATCACGCAGGAGCGAAAACGTTCGAAAAGATTCTGTGCGGAGCGTCTCTAAGATTTCTCCATCCTCCAATATCGGCGATCGAAATTTTAGGGACTGTTTATGGTCTTTCGGGGTCTTTTTTTGGATCGCGTTTGTGAATTTCGAGAGAAATTCTTTTCTTAATGATAAGGCTACGATTTATATAAAAAATGCTGTTATTTTTTTATATAAATTTGCAGATGACACTTTTAAGCTGTTGATCGAAATCAAAGATTCCGGAATATTCTACATATATTCTAATATACAAAAAAATGTTAGTATATTTAAAATGAATAAGTATAATTTAAATTCATTTTTAACGCTCTATTTATCAATTAATAACAAACATTTGTGATTGTTTTTCAATTATGTCGTCTTCTGCTTTTACTATTAATCTACGGCTTATTTTAAAATTTTCGCGGCATGCACGCCTGTGGCATCTGATCTTGAATTTTTTGAATAACACTTTTAAATTGCTTCAAGTATTTATAATATTTTCTTGATATAACATAAACATAAAGTATTGAAAATCAACAACTATAAATTCGCACGGAGCACGCTGTAAAGTTCCTAAGAGCACCTATAAATTTTGGAGATATTCAAAGAGTATTGCAAAAGTAGATTATATACGTTCCCTTCATATTCGAAATATATAATGTAAAAAAGATTTACGGAATTTATTTTTATGACATCCTCCGAACATTTTCTACATGTACTATTAAGAACGGTATATTTATGCCGTATGCAAAGATTTAAAACAATATTGAAGACAATATAATTAAAAAATAATGGAATCTAATATATTTATTAATAAACAAAGCGCTGAAATCGAATTTCAATTATATTTATTCATTTTATTCATTGAATTCTCTTATAAATTCGTTTCTTTGGCAACAATTTTGTCTTAAAAAAAATTACATATAGGCACAATGTGTGTTATATATCACGATCCCCTAAAAAAAAAAATATATATATATATGTACACATATATTTCAGAATAAAAATTAGTTTTATCAACGTGATAAATCTTCCAAGAAAAGTAGTCTCACGAGGGAGAAAGAGCGACAAGACGGATTTCTTCGAGCACACTCCCACCACGCCCAGCGAGAGTTATCATTTTACTGTTATTCAATATCTGTCGGCGGCCGAAAGAGGCTTGTTGCACTACGTACGAATGTTTGATCTCCGATGCATCACGTTGCTCGCTGATACGGATAAGAGGCATTATAAGTAAGCACTTGGCGCGTTCTTCAAGGGTAAGAAGGGAGGGGACCGGCGCGAGAAAGGGGAGGGAACTCCTCTCTTCTCCAAATCTCGTCCGTCTGGTCCCGCCGTTCCGAAACCACAAGTATAATATAGTCAACAGTACAAGTATAATATAGTAGCCTGAATTGACAGTTAATTGCCGGTGATGAGCATACATCAAAGACTTCGACGGCGCGAGGACGCGCTCCGACGCGCCCCGGCGCGCCCACCGCGGGTCACGTGACGTCCCGTCGTCTCAGGCGGGATGAATGAGCTGATTCCCATTAAAGAACATATACGATTCTTTTACGTTGCGGGACGCTCAATTGAATTTATTGTACCTACATGTACACTCTCCCGTTTGCCGGTACGGCGAACGATAATCGCGCGATCGATAACCGGCGACGCTCCTCCACTCGTTTAAGCTAACGATTCCTCTTCTTCGTTCTTTTCCTTCTCGACTGTAAAATAGAAGGAGCTGTACTTATCGGCGATGTACGCGAAGTACATCGAATTCTTCAATCGGCAAGAATTTCATTAAAGACAAATATTACGCCGGCTTAGAAAAGATGCAGCTATTGTAGCATCACTCTATACATTCTATATGCAACATCAGAATCCTGAAGGCAAAACGTTTGCTTTTGGAGAATAGCAAAAATACAGATAATATAATCACGTAATCGCTCTTTTTCAAATGTGAATCGATGACGAGATAAGATTTGCGCTTGGTCGAATTATCTTGTCAGTATAGACAATTTCATCAAAATCCGTTTGTATTACATAACGTTCGTGACATAGGAGAGCAATTTGGCTCGATAATTTCGCTCTCGTTTTTGTATATGAAAATATCCAAAAGAATAATGCGGAGGATTTTATGTAATAACAGATTTATTTATTCCAACGTGCAAAAGATTGATATATTATACATATATTGGCATTTAACTTTGGCATATAAAGACTCTGTTTTATGAAATTCATTTTCAATAATGACATCTAGAAATAAAATTATATCATCCATGCCATATTTATCCAATTTATTCCATATCCAAGATTTTTCGAAATCAAATTGTGTAACGAGAGATAGCCTGTACAGAATGTTGCATAATATATAATGAACTACAAAATAAAGTTTGGGATAAATATGGAAATTATGAGAGAATTCTACACATCGCCTTCTTGAAAATTTTATATATTTATTTCTGGAGCAATTGCACGGTGTATATATATTAAACTCTTTTATGTGTGTTTGATATATCAGGACAACCGGATAGATTATTCAACATACAAAAATAATTGAATTGTAGAATAAAATTTTTTTCGTCTGGTTCATTTTCGAGATAACCGTATTTGAAAATTCGTCAGATACATGTATACCTTTGCGTGCGTAGATTAGCGTAACTCCTGATTTAATAAATTTTATTCTATGCAAGTGTATGAATAGTTTTGAATAATTTATTATATATTTTAACAATTATAATAATTGCATAATTAATCTATTAGCGAATTCCATTCACTACACTACACTACCAGGTTAGTGCATATTAAAGACTGCTACATATGAAATATCTAAATGCAGTAGCATAATATTACTTCCTTAATAATGAAATTATTAATTCATATTCAGCTAAATAATAACAAATTCATTATTGACTATTTATATAATCATTTTGAAGTGTGTTTATGTATTTTTACATTTCAATAATTTCATGTATATCAGCATTTAGTATGCATTAATCTGGTGTAGTACAATGGAATTCGCTATATTACATTCAATAATTCGACTATTTCGAAATAAAATTTATTATATAAAAATATTTTATTGTATGTTTTTAACTTATATATTTTTGCATATTAAATAATCATCCGTTCGGTTGCACCAATGTCCTGATCTACTCAGGTATTTGGTATAGAATATATATATATATATATCCAGATTATTTCAAAATCTCCAAACTTAACTTCACAGAGACAGATTGCTTAATCAAACAGATTGATTAATTGAATTAAAAGCCAATTTAATTAGAATCAACTCACTCAATTTTCAAATTGAAAACTCGATTAAGTTGAAACTAAACTAGCAAATGTTATATTTAATCATTGCAATGATAATATTTTATTCTCTTATATAAGTTGATCGATACAATTTTTTCGGAAGTGATATTTGAAAAAAATTTAAAGTTGTTAAAAAGCTATAATAAATAATTATATAATATTAAAATTCATCGAAATATTCATCAACAATCAATACAAATTTATTAGAAATCTGTCATTGTAATTAAGGTTGAAAATTTTGAAGCACTTTTTACACCAAGTATCTCAAATTTTTCACATTATCATTTATTTTTGGAGCAATTATTAATATTCATATATATCGATAATTTTTTTTAATTTATATAAAATAAAAATTTAAAGATTTTTATTTACTACTAAAAATTAGCTTAGAATTTAGTAGTCTTAAATTAAGGTTTAGACCTAATTACAAAATTGCTTTATAATCAAAAGTCAAAATCTCAGAGAGATTCTCAGAGAGAAGGATAATATCAATTTTTTTATCGAAATGATAATTCTCCTCCAATATGCTCCAATATTCAAATAAAAGTGCAAAAAGATAATATTTTTTATATAATATCTACATTTATAAATTAATAATAAATATTGTCACATAAATCTGGCAATGCAACGGAGGAGCGTAAATAAACGTTTATCTATTTACACTATTTAGACATCTTCTCATAAGTCGAGCGAGCCTAAATAATCGGGAACACTGTTACCGTTAAGTACAAGGCATTTTTATGCACATGTGCGTGTGTTCGCTTATAATTTACATAAACAGAACAATAGTGGGATAAAAGCGCCGATGGCTACGAAAACAGGTAACATTACAGAGGAATCGTCTATCAAGTACGGGTCAGGTGTTCTGGGCCCGCTCGTATGTCTACTACGCACGGTAGTTTCCTCCTCTTCCTCTTGCAAACTGTGATAGTCCTCTGGATCAGGTGGTATCGGTCCTAATTGTGGTACATCTAAATAGCAATATAGTATTTGTGAATATTTTGACCATGAAGAGGTTCAATCAGAATTCATGCATATTAAAATAAAAATATACGAACCATCCAAGGTACCTTTCACAACTGCTATGGCATTTATTTTTGGATTATCTCTGTAACCCTATAAAATTGTAATGTTAACACAATCATGTTCTGCTATATATATATATAATAAAAAGAAAGATGGTAAGTATATGCATATATGTCTATGTATATATGTCTAGTTTGCAGTACCAGTATTCTATAATGGAATATTTTTTAAAGGAAGTATTGTTAATGATTGCAGAATAAATTTTTACAATATATTAATTAACTACCTTTATAAACTCCACTCTTATCTTTCCTGCCAGAATGTCCGACTCCTCATCATTATATATCAACTTTCCACCTTGTACCCTGAATGGAACATATTCATCATGAGCAACACCTCGACCGACTCTTTCAAAGATATCCAAATCAGTGACCACGGTATGATCACCATTCAGCACGACGTCAAAGACCTAGGCAGAATTATATATTACAAATCTGGCAACAATTATCAAGACTAAAATTCATTTAATAAGAAAGTTCACCTTCATGTTTGGCGAGTTAAAGTACACCTCGCAGAACTTGAGTATCATAACGTAATTTCCATCTTGGCTGATCGGGATATCATAGCCGAACGTATTGTGATGATAGCGCTCGGTTTGATACAGGATCTGGTCCACGTTGCCGATGCGTCCTATGATCAGTTGCTTACCATAATCGGAAGCCGTGCCGACTTTCCCCATGAGGGGATCCCTGGCGTAGTGTATCCCATAGCTGTCCGTGTGCGATTCGCCGCCCGCGTTGATCGCGTATATCACCTCGAGGCAATGCGACCCGGTGGCGAACACACCGAGCAGGCACAGTAGGAAAATCGGGAGGCCATTGTTTCCCATTGGTAACCACATTCTTAATGCAGGCGTGTCACATTCGCAGCTCTAAGATAAGACTCGTCTCGTTCCCCGGTCGATGCACAGCGCGCTCATTACTCAATTCGTGAGATCCGCTGTTATTATTATTATTGTTATTGTTGTTGTTGTTATCCGACACGCTTCGTGTCCGGGATCGCTTGGACTCGCATCGAATTCGCATCGAATCGCGAATTCCCGTCGAGCTTACGTCGCACGCGACCGAACCCACATGGCAGGTCGCGCTATCGAGCCGACGGGAAAACACCGCCGTCCAGCTGTGCGGCCATATGTGGCCACGGTGCCGCAATGTTATCCTTATTGACTAGATCGCTGACTTACCGACGGGGCCGTGACACGAGATAACGGTTCGCGCGATGTCAAAAACGTGTCGCCGAACGTCGCCACTTTTCCGTATTTTCGGAGAAACAATGGAATGAGCAGGAGAGGGCAAAGAGAAAAAGACGGAGGGAGAAAGAAGCGGAAGAGAGAGAGAGAGAAAAATTCATAAAAAAGCATTTGGGAAGCTCTTAGAGGACACTTACAAAAATATTTGATATTAACATATCATTCATTTTCTACGATAACAATATATTTTTAATCTTTTTCTCGAATTTTTAAATAAATTACAATATTTGCTTTTGCCACTAACTATATACGTGTCTTTATTTTTAATTTTGAAATGTAATGAAGCACGAATCAATTTATGATTATATTCCCTCTTCTCCTCAAAATTAATTTAGTTGACTGGAATTGTAACTTCGGTACAAAACCGTCAATTTGACAGAAGCGCACGATCCAATAACAAGAATCAAAACCGATACAATTTCGCTGAGCTTGTATATTACAAGCGCGATGAATTGATACTAAACTCTTTTTTGTACATTAACGACATCAGAAATTGAATTAACTGAAATTGTGTCGTTGTCAATTTCCATCTCAATCTTTTTGTTTTACACATTTTATATTTATTAACTAAACGTAATAATAAAAACAATAATATCAGAAGTTATTAGATTTGATTATTTTACTTTTATTTAATTGTAATATTATTTATTTAATAAACGACACTCTCTGATAATGAATAATAAAAAGATGTGATTTCACGTTGCACTTGTCTTATGCTCAAACGAGAGTTTGAAAAAAAGATGAATTCCGTTACATATTTTTTTTTTTTACAATTTGTCAACTCGATGATCGAACCCTTTTCGTGATTTACAAGCGACACTGGCAACGAATCCGTTGCTCGAAATAAATTCACGATCTTATTATATCATTACTATACTTATTCGAGGTTTCCGTTTATTTTTAGTAATAAGAAGTCTCAATGAAAATTGAGAATATCGCTCACGTAGGATATATTTATAACGTCTTGCTCTGTGCACAAAGAATTCACAGCAATTGTTGTACAAAGAACTTATAATTGCAATTTGTCAAAAAATATGACATATAAACATCCTGTTTACAAATGCATTGCTGAATTAATGTTTTAATACGTATATTTTAATATGTACGCTTATAAACAAAATATTCCATGATGTATTCAATAAATTGCAGTTACAAATTTTTCAATATAAGATCAATTTTCACTTAGCAAGAAGAAATATATTTTTCCAAGACAATATCGATTGAAAATGAGCAACATTTTTTATAAAGCTTTAAAAATACAAAGGGATGAAGTTTTGCTTCTCACTTTCCAATGTAATTAATTTCTTTAAAATCTTAATTTAGATTCGAGATATTTAATATTAAACATGGAAATAATTAAGAAAGAGATGGTATAGAATTGAATTTTAACGAAGGAAATGACATCGAAATTATGGAAAAACCGGTTATAAACTTTTAAATGGCAATCCTTCCATTTTTTGTATTCCAAATTAAGGAACTCGTCCCCGGCTTTCAATGAAACGAGAAGGTTTAAGATTCCGGAACACCCTATATATCACTGAAAAAAAGAACGAGGTCGTCTAAACGTGGGCAATGAGAGAGTGAGAGAGAAAGAAAGACCGAGGTTAAGATGATGTTTCTTTGTGCTAAAATAAACGAGAGATTTTAATACAAAGGAGCAATAAAAATAACTATACAAAGAACGTCAAATCATATCAATAAATCAAAATAATCGAAGATATCAGTGAATTCTCTTGACTTTTCATATTGACGTTTTAATATTTTAAACAAATCTTTCGTTAACGACGAAAAATGTTGATAAAATTCATTAAATAGTTTTAATAAGAATCATAAAATAGATGATAAAATGATACAATAGTTTTAGTTTGAGAAAGTTTATAGTCATTTAGATAAGATAACAGAAAAATGTTAAAAGAATGACGTAATATTAGGTTGAAAAATTTTCGAAGTCCAAAATGTATCATAAATAAAAGAAACAAAGAGGGGGGAAAAAGAAAAAAGGATAAAAAGAGAAAAAGAAAAAAAATAAGAAATAAAAAAGAATTTAGAATATTTCAAACACTGTGGAAAGTTCGTTCAAATTCTGACATAAATATTGATGAAAGCTGTTTTGAGAAGCTCGCGTCTGAACTTACGTACGAAGAGCGCGATAAATAAACCATTTAATCGATTTTTCGTTTCGAAGAATAACAATTTTCGATTGAAATCAGCCAATGCGGAAATCGATGATCGAATTCTTTCTCTCTCACTCGCTTAGATTTCGCATGCTGCGCTGAAACATGTTGGAAGAGAACGTAAGCTACTCTCCCATTACTTTTGAACCATACTCCGAGGGGAGACACGAGTCGCATTGTTATATCCCAGCTTCCTCTCGAGCCGACTTGATGACCGTTATTGCGATGCCCGACGCACCTGGCTCAGCCTGGGCAGCAACGCTTCGACGGCAACGATGCACGATGTATACAGGAAAAAAAAAACATTAATCTTGAATCAAGATTATATATTCTTATATATAAAAACAAATAAAAATGGATAATAAGGGCAATGGGAGTCAAGCGCAGTAAATGAGGCGCAAATAATTACCCGTTAAATCCTATCTGTATTTAAGGTTCTTCTTACATTCCAGTTTCGATCCATTTTCGGATCATCTTCAGTAGATACATGTACATGATAAGAATGGTTTGAGACCGTATTAGTTCATGACTTTTCCGATTCGCATCGATAAATGCAATAGTGCAATATCTCGAGGGCCTCTGTCCAAACAGTTCCACAACTGATGTAGAAGACACTCGATGATATCGCCGATTATGACAATAACTTATACACAAAAGGAAATAAATACTGTATATTGCAATAGCAAATGGTCACAATTAAAAGAATATAAGAAATATAAGAAAGAAATAAAAAAAAAATTTTAACAGAGATATAAGATAATAGTCGGTTAGTAAAAAAGAAAAGAAGTAAACACATCTTAACTGTTTCAATTATTAAAATGATTATTAAAAATATGAGATTATTAAAGAGATTGAGAATGAGATTATTAAAAATAATCTCATATATAAATAAGAATATTATAATTTTCTTAAAAAAAATTTAATATTGAGATAAATAGAGATATTCTCATAAACAAGAATATTATAATCTTCTTAAAAAATTTTAGTACTGACGTAAATATAAATAGTCTCATATATAAACAAGAATATTGTAATCTTTATATAAAAGTTTAATTTTTAGTTGAGACAAAAATAATACAATACTTTAATCAGATTGAGATTAAAATTTTTAAGAAGAATTATAATATTTTTGTGTGTGAGAATATTTTTCTTGATTTAAAACTAATTTTTGTTTATGAGAGAACACATTGTAAACGCTTATCAAGTAGGCGAAGGCCTCCTAAAATATTTAAGTTTCCGCCAATTTCACAAATGCAGCAAAAAAGCACGTCGATGAGTTGCATCGACTGTTAAATAACAATGACTTGATAATTCTTTCATTATTATAGTCTCCTTCTCTTATAGTCCTGTACGTAACTTCGAGAGTTCGAATAGAAAACGAATATTTTTTTTATCTTTCTTGAACGTATATCATTTCCTTCTTTTTAATTTTTTTTTTTTAATACGGGAAGAGAATTAAAAAAAGAAATATTTCTTTGTTCTTTTTGCGTTCTTCATTTTTTTTTGAACCTTTTTTTCAGTGTAGTTAAACGACGTAACATTAAAAATAATGTCAGATAAATGTCGATAAGTAGACTTTTCGAGATAAGTATATGCTTGGAATAAACGTTTCTACCTTTAAAACCAGTGCAGGTTAATGGATAAAACAGAATAACAATCATTACGGTCATTACAAGCATTACGGCATTTGTAATTAAGCAATTTCGTAATTATCATTAATGATTACTTCTCGCAGTGATTAAGCCAAATGGAAGTTCTATTTTTCTGCTTTGCGTGTTTCTGTTTCTCATTTGTTTACAGAAAGTATGCGATCTCACGCGTTCCTTCCTCGTTCACTTTTTTTCTAGTAATATTTCTGACGAGAACTCTACGGCTTCGGTTCAACAACGTTCGGTTCTTCGAAAGTTATATAAAGTAGTACGGCAGGCGTCGACAATACCTCCTCACTTGAAGACATTTATTTCCGAGTCATTATTCTTACATCGTGACATGTTAAATCTATTGTTGAAATTTAAAATAAAAGAATAAAATATGATTTTAAACGTTCTTATAGAAATATTTAATATTGAAAGATGGTAATCATTTATTTTGAATAGGTTAAAAGCATTGTTGTTACTTTTAATAATAACTCGAAATAAGTAATTTCCAGTATTAAATTGAATTTAATTATCATTAAATTGGATTTAATTAAATACTGTTATGAAGTGTTTTTAATTCAAAAATAAATAATTTCCAGAATGGATTTCTGTAAGAGCATAGATTTTATTTTGAAAGTTCGTTTAGGTCTTGCCATGAATTTTTAGGAATCTATCGTATGAATATGTAGATACAATGTATAGCTAGGAAGAAATTATATATCTAAAGTGAGAAGGCATTATTGATGCCTTCCGACGTATATATATATATATATATATATATATATATATATATATGCTCAGAGTTAAATCGGTATCGATCGCACGAATCGCGCTTCCTCCGTAATTTTCTCTACGTGGACATAAACTCGACACGCGTATTATTGACATTGGGCCACGCAATTTTGCCGCATGTGCGAACGTCAAAGGCGGCTTCCTTCACGATTACTTTATGAGGAAATACATGTGACTCAACGTATAATTTAAAGCTTTCCCTGTCACATCATTTAAGATCGGAAAATCTTGAGATATAATCCATTTTTAATCGTAATAATATATAATTTAAAATGGTGTTAACAAAAAAATCGCTTGTTGTATAATAAACATAAAAAAATATAAATTCTACAAATACGTAATGAGAATCCGTGGAAAATCGAAGGCGTTTCATCGTACCGGAACTTGCGATTTCTCGGAGCCACGCGTTTTACGACGCGTCATGCAAGTACTCGGCGAAATTTTCCACTTGTAACCGCGATAAAAACGACAATTACAAGCCTAACGAATAGTCGTGAGTCATGCGGAATCGAGCTGGTGATCGTATGAGACTCGATCGCACAGCGAGAGTTGCAGCGAGAGGTGAGGTCCCGTTTTCGCCTGTCACGGCCGACATGTTCGAACGATCCGCAGGTGTTCCGCAGAACGATATAATCCGTAAAAACACACGAATCTGTTTCGTGGGAAATCGAGGGTAATTAATTCGTGGTTCCGCACCGCGCGCGATCAATTCATTGACGTCATTGGCACACGCGCGAATTTCGCGGGACCTTGAACACGTGGCGACGCTTTGCTTGGACCTTCACCTCTCAGTCCACGCATGCGCGCGCGCGTCGCATGATGCTTTCTAGAACTTCTCGTACTCGCGAGAACGTTCCCCGCGTCTCGGTCAATCCCGGCTTCCGCTGCTCCAACCGGAAGCCGGAACCTCAGGCATGAGTAGTTAATCTCTCGCTCGCCCTCATCCTCTCCCTCTCCTTCTCGTCGGTCGATCGAGCGACACACGGTCGCAAAGGGAATTTTTCGGTTGGTCACACACGTGTAACTCCAGAGGATATAACTTTGAGATGTCGCGCGATCAATAACGCGACGCGTTGCAGTCGCTTAATTGACTCTCTTGGTGCTGCCCGGGTCGAAGATTCTCGGCCAATCGCGTGCCTACCAGAACGGAATGCGACGCAGTGGTTCGTGAACTTGTGATTTTGCGCGGAAGGAATGTTCTAGAAGCCACGCAGGTATATAACAAGCCTTAGGGGCGATGGCTCGTCACTAACGTTGCGAATCGTGACACGAGGAACTTCTTCGCTTGTCCTAATACATACACAAGTTTTTACGAAGCTTCGAGCAATTTCCTAGAGGTACATACGCCCCTTTTGTCAATTCGAATTGTTTCGCGAGTGATCAACGAATAACAGCGATTCCTCTCATTCGTGATAATCGTTCGTTCTCACGGAGTTCGTCCACGCTTACTTTGCAGAATCCGAAAAGATGGCGAAGGCACCCGCAGTCGGTATCGATCTTGGTACAACCTACTCCTGCGTTGGCGTTTTCCAGCACGGCAAAGTTGAGATTATTGCCAACGATCAGGGCAACCGTACGACACCCAGTTATGTGGCCTTCACAGAAACTGAACGGCTCATCGGGGACGCCGCCAAAAACCAAGTCGCCATGAACCCCAACAACACCATTTTCGGTAAGTCCATTTACTTTTCGCCCACTATAAAAACTTTAATCATTTAGCTGAGTTAGATCGTGACTCGGCGAGTTTCTCGAAAATCTGCTTTCATCGCGTTATATTATCTGCGGCGATATCTTCTCAATATTTCGCGAGTGTGTATAAGGCTTATCTCGCCTGTAATCGATTTTGCATCATTTATTTATCGAAGTTTAGAGTTACATAAAATGAGATTTTACTTTTTGAAAATCGCGTGCGCGTTTATAATTTGCACAATTTTTATGGCGTGATATTAAATAAAAAAAGCGTGAATATTTAATGAACTGTTAACGATTCATTATTGATTAAAATAAGCAAAAAATAAATTAAAATTATTTTCTAATTTAATAATATAACAAATTCATCATGTTATTAAATGTTTTTAACATTCATCTAATAAAATAACTATATTATTAGTTGAAACTAGTAAAGAAGAAAAAATTGTATTTTTTGCAAAAAATATTAATTTAGAAGAATCCAATATCGCTAACTTATTTTTTTTCTATTTTGATTAATTAGATGCCAAGAGATTGATCGGACGTCGCTTTGAGGATCCGACCATTCAGGCTGACATGAAACACTGGCCCTTCACTGTGGTAAATGATAGTGGCAAGCCAAAGATCCAAGTACAATACAAAGGAGAGACGAAGACTTTCTTCCCTGAAGAAGTGAGTTCGATGGTCTTGGTAAAGATGAAGGAGACCGCAGAGGCATACCTAGGCAAGACTGTCACCAATGCTGTGATCACCGTCCCCGCTTACTTCAACGACTCGCAGCGTCAGGCAACCAAGGACGCTGGTACCATCTCGGGCTTGAATGTATTACGTATCATCAACGAGCCCACCGCTGCCGCGATCGCGTACGGTCTCGACAAGAAGGCCACCGGCGAGCGGAACGTCCTGATCTTCGATCTTGGTGGTGGCACCTTTGATGTATCCATCTTGACCATCGAGGATGGTATTTTCGAGGTCAAGTCCACGGCCGGTGATACCCACTTGGGTGGTGAGGACTTCGATAACCGCATGGTCAACCACTTCGTGCAGGAATTCAAGCGCAAATACAAGAAGGACCTGACTTCGAACAAGCGTGCCCTCCGTCGTCTGCGCACGGCCTGCGAGCGCGCCAAGCGTACTCTGTCATCTTCCACGCAGGCCAGCATCGAGATCGATTCCTTATACGAGGGAATAGATTTCTATACCTCCATCACCAGGGCTCGTTTCGAGGAGCTCTGTGCTGATCTCTTCCGCGGTACTCTCGAACCTGTCGAGAAGTCGTTGCGCGATGCAAAGATGGATAAGGCTCAAATCCATGATATCGTCTTGGTTGGTGGCTCAACGCGCATTCCTAAGATACAAAAGCTTCTACAAGACTTCTTTAACGGCAAGGAGCTTAACAAATCCATCAATCCTGATGAGGCTGTGGCGTATGGTGCGGCCGTACAAGCGGCTATTCTGCACGGCGACAAGTCCGAAGAGGTGCAAGATCTGCTTCTGCTCGATGTTACTCCACTTTCTTTGGGCATCGAGACTGCTGGTGGTGTCATGACCGCGCTCATCAAGAGGAACACCACCATCCCGACGAAGCAGACTCAAACCTTTACAACTTATGCCGACAATCAGCCTGGCGTATTGATTCAAGTATACGAGGGTGAACGCGCTATGACTAAAGATAACAACTTGTTGGGCAAATTTGAGCTTAGCGGTATTCCGCCAGCACCTCGTGGAGTTCCTCAGATCGAAGTTACCTTTGATATTGACGCGAACGGTATTCTTAATGTCTCCGCCGTGGATAAGTCTACTGGTAAAGAGAACAAGATCACCATCACCAATGACAAAGGTCGTCTCAGCAAGGAGGATATCGAGAGGATGGTAAACGAAGCTGAGAAATACCGTAGCGAGGATGAAAAACAAAAGGAGACGATTGCTGCCAAAAATGGGCTTGAGTCCTATTGTTTCAACATGAAGAGTACAGTCGAGGATGAAAAGTTGAAGGACAAAATCAGTGCGACAGACAAGCAAACGATTCTGGATAAATGCAACGACATTATCAAGTGGCTCGACGCAAATCAACTGGCCGACAAGGAAGAATATGAACATAAACAAAAGGAACTTGAGGCCATTTGCAACCCCATCGTCACGAAGCTGTACCAGGGCGCAGGTGGAATGCCCGGTGGCATGCCAGGTGGCTTCCCTGGAGCTGGCGGAGCCGCTCCTGGAGGAACACCTAGTGGTGGCGGCGGTGCGTCTGGACCCACCATTGAGGAAGTCGACTAAAAAGAATCGTTCCTGTTTTTGTCCCGCCACTGCCCTTCATCATGGTCCTTTACCAGTGAAGAATTACTTGCAACTATGTGCCCTTCTTAAGGCGCGCTAAAAAAAAAAGAAATTAGAAAAAGTTCAAAAAAAAAAACAGAATCGACCATTAAACAACTGTGGTTTTTGCTCTAATCATTCCTTTCGTATGTACATTTCTTTAGCGTCATTTTTTAATAAGTTCCTCTTTCGTCATTTTCTATTTTGAAATATATGTATGCTTTATTTACTTATTTATTTCATTACTGTATATTGTACTTACGATTGATTTTCAACTAGATCCATTGTTAATTTTCTATGTTCCAGATTTCGTAAATATAGAGCGATTACCAAAATAAAACGTTGCATTCTTTTTGATCCTGATAATTTTTAAAATAAGCAATTTGATTTTTAAACTGCGATACATAGACTAAGTATTACAATTGTACTTTAATTATTACAAAATGTCATTTTCTGTTAGTAATATTTGTAGCAGTATTAAAATGAGAACATAAATATTAAAATTACAGGACTAAAATAACAGAAATTTTTTTTTCCGCTTTATGTAGATAATTCATGCTTATTTTATGAGTAAAAACATAAATGAACTTCATTTTATCTACATTTATAACAACATAAATAATCAAAGACATATGGATAGGAAAAAAAAGAGGTTTCTATAAAACAACAACGACATAAATGAAGTAAAATTTTATTCATAAGCGCAATATGCGAGAACCCTGTTGCAAATAATTCATTTCACAGTAAACAAATCCAGAATAGAAAAATTGAGACATTTAATACGTAATACCGTACGTATTTTTTTTTTTTTTTTTAGTACGATGTCAAATAATGATAGCAAATTCGAAATCACAACGAAATCACAAATTTCCTACGCTGATCCAATAAAATCACCGATTACTTTAATAGCGCGCAAAGAATTAGCGTAAAAACATTATGCGATAATATACATAATTATATAGAATAACCAGATGTCATACCAGTTGTAAGCAGTACTGTTCCTTTCCCTTTCTTTTTCTTCTTCTTGCCTAATGCATTACTTTCATCTTTTGCTTCTAAAAATGATAATTTAATTAATTCAAGTCATTTAAACAGTCAGACACTTGCATACATATAACTGTAATATTAAGTATTGCATTTGGTTACATTATGTGATTGAGGGCAATACAATTTACCTTCAGAAACGCATGATTTCTTTTCATCTTCGTTGGATGAAGTACCCGGTGTACCAATGCATGTACTTGATTTAACAGGCGGCCAAGCATTAGTAGACTTGTGTGCCTTTGTCAATAATGCTTTTTCTTCATCTTTGCCGGACCATGCACTCGTTGTACCGGAGTGCATTTTCGATGTTACAGCGGGCCATGCATTGATGGATTTATTAGACATTTTTGTGGACATTGATGATAATTTCATTATGTCCGCGAATGTTCGGGTTTGTTCCCGCGAATGATCTATTTCTTGTTTTGGAGCAATTTCATCAAATGCACTCAAAGCTGGACTGCTAGCAATACTTGACGTACCCGATTCTGAAGGTGATAGCACGTTCTCACTATGTTAAAACGTGATAATTAGGATAATTATTTCTGTATTTTATTAAATATGTATAAAATTTAAATAAAATAGCATTTATGTAGATATCAACACTGAAGATAACAATTAATTTCTGCTTACTTCGACAATTGTGACTGCAGTTCTGACTGTAATTGAGGAAAATGTTGATAAGATTCGATATCTATGTTGGGCGTCGGATATATCCCAATTTGTCTATTTTCTTCTTCTATTATCTTTTTCTCTCTTTTTCTTTCCTCGCGTTCTTTCTGTTCTCTGTATTTCTGTCTTGAATTTAATTGTTCTGACGATTTAAAAAATAAATAATATAATCACACAATAAATAATTTCGCATGTCTAGAATAAATTATCTTATAAAAACAGAAAACATTTTATAAAAAACAATAAATGATCACCGTGGAAAGCATGAAGAACTTCCTCCGATACCAGTGGTGGTTTTAATTCGATTTCAGCTAATTCTAATGGACAAGTAAGTGGTAGATGACAAAGATATCGTAATCTGCGTCTTAATTCTTCTGTGCAAATGCTTGCTTCTTTTTCAAGGAGCTTGCCCGTTATTACTGGGGGACAGTACTCTAAACTACCATACTGCATTTCCAGCATTTTCACATTTGCTGCATGTAGATACATGTGTTGTCCGTCCTCGGCTAAAAATTTAATTAATATATATAATACATTCTTATTTCTGAGATATACTTAGTATCATATAGTTCAAAAGAATATTAAATTGTTGATAATTATATGTCGAGTAATTATTTACCTTGATAAAAGTAAGAGAATTTAGAAGGGCTTGAAACAGTCTGGCTATCACTGGAAACACTGTCTGTCGAAGATTGTTTTGCTAAAATCTTATCATCTTCGTAATATGTATCAACATTTACTTCATTTCCTTGCGATGTTTCTTCGATAACTTCTTTTTCCATTGTATTTTCCATCGATGGAGCATCTTTAGATTCTGCGATCTTACATAACAATTTTTCATATTATATTCTATATTATATTCATGCATAATATTATACAGTACACATATATTAACATATATATATATATATATAAAAACACATTACCTTCCACAGTAATTTTTCCTTTCGCTTTGACAATTCAGTGAGCGCTTGCTTGATGTCAGAAGACATATCTGGATCATTTTTAAGCTCAAATTCTAATTCTGAACGTTCGCTTTCTATGATGTTGACAATCTAGAAATAAGAATGATAATGGCGACTGATACTTCAAAATAATCTTTTCCATGAACTTACATCTTTTATATTCGCAATAAGAAGCTTTGAATATATCTGATTATCAGCATTTTCTGAAACAGATAAAAATGTTGTTGGCGGTTGAATCGCAGATTTCACAGGAGTTGCGAATAAGGAATTTTTTTCACGACGCATCAGACACAAATTGACTGTTTCACCCAAATTGAATGTACTTCGCGTAATTTCGACCACACTAAAAACAACACATGTAATATAATTAGAATATTTTTATGATCATTTTTCTTCACTTAATATATTTATTATCTCACACAAAAATTACCTTTTTAAGTCATTTTTGTGAAGATATTCATCACAAATCGGACATTTGTAGTTGCCTGTTTCTTGACAATAACGTAGGTAACGAAGAATACAAGGCCAGCAATAGACATGACCACAGCGAGTCATTTTTCCTGCGACTGGTGGATGTAAACAAATGGGACAGGAAAGATTTTCTGAATTGTGTAATATCTGCAAACAAATTAAATATTAAGTTAAAAGTTTAAAGTTAGTTAAATTAAATTTAATTTATATTCGCCAATGTATATAAGAAAATCTTGCGAGAAAGTCAATGCAACAAGAAAATTGGTGATTTACAATAAAAGAATACATACAACTTGCTCAATCAGCTTCCAATCCACAAGAATATCAGGATTAGTCAGATGTAAGGAATAATCCCTGCTTGCAGTCACAACAAATTGGCAGCTACCAATATACATAAAAATATATAAATAATGTTTAACATAAATAGTAATCTCAATATTATTTTTCTAAACAATATATAAACAATATATTATCCAATAACATTAATACTAAATAATTTTAATTATTACTCAAGTATTTAATTTATATCGAAATAATTAAGAAATTAAGCACTTGAATTTTGTTCGAAAAATGTTAAATAATATAACACATTATTTCATCCGAAATGATTTCAATGAGCAATATTACTCCCAAGGTATCTTTGATTCATATAAGCCAGCAAATAGATTTATATAAAAACTCATATAATTTTTATGTATTAACTGATTAATCTATTAATTACATTTGAAGCAATAAATATATTATTTCAGATATCTTCAAATAATATTCTGAATAAACAGTTATTTCAGTTGAGATTTATAAATTGATATAAATAATTAATGGAAAATAGAATATGAAAATTGCCCAGTTATATCATGGCATCATTACCTAGCTTGTACAAATTGCTCCTTGTTATATTTATGTCGCTGAACTGGTGGCAGCAATCTATTGCTGTTGGAACTATGTCTCCTTATATCTCTGTTTTGTGCATCTCTCATCATATATCGCTCGTAATGGAAATTCAGCAAGTGATTGCCATTCTTTTTGCTTCTTTGGACCAATACTGAGCCATACTCAGGTAATTTCTCCTCCACTACCTATAGATATATGCATAATACATATAAGACCAATGGAAATAAATTTGAAAGGAGATGAAAGCATAATTGTATGTAGAATTTGAATTCGTCTCAACCTTGGAATTCGTCTCTGCACTGCCATGATATTGTCCTTTAGGTCTCTGTCTCTTAACAAGATCTTTTGTTTTCTGTACATTGTACTTTGTTGGTTGTACATTGTTAGGGAAATTATTGGCGCCAGTAGGTTCTCTTCTGCGCAAAGATCCCAGATGGTGCTTGTTACTGACATCTAAAAGGACATATGACGTAAGAAAACATACGCATAGCATGAAGAAGCGTGCATGACAGTCTGTTTGTTTGCACAGGACGGGATTCTAGCGAGTGACCTTGAGGACGCACCTTTGTTCTTTCTCGCATCAGCAACAGTCCCCTTCGCAGGGGACAGCGTGAATTTTGACCTTATGTCCATTTGTGGATTGACTGTAGTCAGTCTGATTCGCCTTGTCGCAGTTGCGGTCTCCTCCGTCTCCTCTCCTCGGAGAAACAATATCTTTTTGCGCACCCTTCATCTTCTTCAATAAGCCATGTTTCGTCAATGCCAAAGTAGTAAAAAGCGTGTCTCGATGTGACGACGGTCGGCAGTCGATGCGGTGCTGCACAGGAGTGAAGCGAACAGCGATGAGCGAAACGCTCGTTTTCCAGGGAGCAGTCGGCCTCCCCTTTCGTCGCGGACGACGATCTCAGGCCCTTAACCTTAATGACGGTCACGACCCAAATGGCGAACCCAACCGTCTGCGGAAGCGGAAGCGCTGGCGTATGTGCCACGACCGCTCGATACTCACGTGACTCGAACACCGCTTGTCCATCGCTACCCATTGTTCAAATCCGTCGCAAATTGACGGCAAACGATATTTTCGATTTTTCGAATTATTCCGATTTCTCGGTCGTAGACGTTTCTTCTGGGATTGACGGTGTCGATCTTGATTTTTGGAGTTGATTTGACTTCAGTCCAGTCAGTCTCAAGGTAGAGATACGTAAACTTAAAAAAAGAATTATCGGATGATTAGTATAAAATCGAAAATCGAAATACGTTTATTTATGTATAATGTAAATCATCCTTTAAATAAACACCATTTTTTATGATATATTTCGTTTTATTAAATAATATTAATAAATTCAATTTGCGTGTATACTGAGCAATTTTAAGTGCCATTCGATCGGTCGATTATTAGTCATCGAATAAAATGATGTTCAGAATGTTTATGAATTTCTTAAGAAATAAGAAAAACTCAGCCTGGAGCTTCCGTATTCTAAACACATCAGTATCGAACAACGTCTTTAGTTTGTCTACTTTTCCTTCAGCTTTTCTTTGGAAAAAAGTTTGATCGTCATATAACTAAATATAACCTACATAATGCAGGATTCACACTGCATCGACATCCAATAGAAGAATTCACTTTTTAATGTCTTTTTAATTCATTTTTAGCGTCAAAATAAATCGCGTAATCAAAATTGAAAAATTTTGCATAGTAAATAGTGCAAAATAGTAAAATTTGAATGGTCACTTTCTATCTTAGTCACGTGATCTATTTTGGCCCTAGAAATAAGCGTCAATGAAAAGCACCTTTACATAACACGTGGTTAGAAAAATAAATAGAAATCCAGAAATTCATCGGAGGATATCAAGGAGGAAAGTACGAGTGCTTCATATCAGGTTTATTTAAATATTTAAAAAAATGCCTGCCAAAGTGAAAAATAATATACTCAAATACGAGGGCAGCAATTATCTTAGATATCGCTTATTACTGTCTACGTTATCTATGAAACCAATAAAAATTATAAATATTAGAACGAAAAATGATGAACCTGGTCTTAAAGGTTAGCGTTATTTATTAAATACGATGTTTTTATTGATTATATCTATATTATTTTATACAGTTTTTAATAACATGTTTTAACATGTCAATCATTTTTTGACAGAATATGAAGTTAATTTTATTCATCTTTTGGATAAACTCACTAATGGTACAAGAATTGTGTTAAATGAAACTGGTACCGCTGTATATTATAATCCTGGCTTATTAAGAGGTGGTGAATTGGAACATGATTGCAGCTTGCAGAGAGGTATCGGGTATTACTTGGAACCTATTATGATACTTGCACCGTTTTGTAAAGAACGTATTGATTTGAAACTCAAAGGAGTGACCAATAATACTATAGGTATGATATATAATGTGCTGATATATACTTATTATTAAAGGTTGTTAAAATAATTAATATAATTTACAAGATCCATCAGTGGACAAAATCCAGACTGCTGCTATACCAATATTGAAAAGATTTCTAGTAGGTGACAATGAAGTTGTGTTAACCATTCACAAAAGAGGGGTACAACCTTTGGGAGGTGGAGAAGTACAATTTAAGTGTCCTGTTAGTCGTTATCTTAAAACAATTCAGGTATTTAAATATTCTATACTTACCCATATATAATTATATGTAATAAAATTTTATAATATCCTTTTTACTTCTTTTTGTTACGTTAGTTAGAAGATAGTGGACAGGTAAAACGTATTAGAGGTGTTGCATGTAGTTTACGAGTTTCTCCAGCAATTGCTAATCGCATTGTGGAATCAGCGAAAAGTGTTCTCCTTAAGTTTTTACCAGATGTATATATTTATACAGATCATTGTAAAAAGTCAGCTAGTGGGAAATCCCCAGGTATGAATTACATGCACACATATAGAAAACAGCCATTTATATACACTATTATAATTTAATAATTATGATATAATGTATATACCATTTATATTAAATTAATTCGTGTTATTCCTAATTTGTTATGTCTTGTTATGTCTGTTATGGTTCAGGTTTTGGTGTCACGCTGACAGCAGAAACTACAAAAGAAGTATTCTTTAGTGGACAAGCGTTCTCTCCATTAATGACGACAGGTTCGTTACCATGTGTACCCGAAGATCTTGGCAAAGAAGCTGCAATGAAACTTCTAGATGAAATTCACAGGTAAAAAAATATTTTTTTCTTTAAGCACATATATATTTAATTTTATAATTTTATCGTTGATTTAGGAATGGATGTGTAGATTCTTGTTTTCAATGTATGATTGCTGCATTCATGACGCTTGGCAAACACAACGTTTCTAAAATTACAGTAGGACCATTAACTCCAGCAATGTAAATATTATAAAATTTCTTTTTACATGCATGCAATAGAAAAAAAAAATTACTGTCACACTTGATAATTTTCAGGATACAGTTTTTACGCGACTTACGGGACTTCTTTGGAATTACTTTTAAAATTGACCATGTCAAAGAAGAAGATGAAGTATTACCACAAGTGCGTTTAACTTGTTTAGGTATAGGTTATACTAATATGAATAAACCCATGCTATAACATTGTAAATATTGTTATTAAAAATTAGATTTTATATATTTTTATTTTTAATGAATAATTTAAATTATAATTTATAATAAATAATGAAGAGAAGTTTATAATATATTATTTTGAACTTTAAACAAATAATTAAAACACGTTTTTAAAAAAAAGTTTTATAAGCACAATGTAATTATAATGATAAGCGGTTAAATTGAAAATTTAAGCGGTTAAATAAAAAATATAAAGATTACATTATAAAATTAATAGACTAAAATCATGATCAATATTTTTAATTAGCGAAAATTCAACATTTCATATGCAACAACCTAATTTACGTATGTTGTGCAAATGAAGGGTACATCTTTTCTTCGTTTGTATGTACATAGAAAAAAAGAAATGATAAATTGTGCAAAGAATTCAGCTAAAAAGATCAGACCTATTTAGTAATGGCTCTTTTTTTATCTTCAAAATAATATTCTGAATCTTCTTTTATTGCTAAAAATGCTTTTAAAATTGATTTACAATCAATCAGAAGATTTATAAATTATTTTTAAAGGCATTTTTATCGGTAAAAGAGAGATTCTGAATATAAGTCAATATTACTGCAAAAATAACAATTTAGTTTGTAGAAATCTACATTTTCTTCTATTTTCATCTTTCTCGCATTTCCTGTTTTCTCAATTCTTCCCTTTTTAGCGAAACAGTTCAGCTTGAATTTCATTTCATAAGGGCCACGTTCTAAAATTCTACTCGACAGAGTAGAATTTAATTGACCAATCAGAACAAAAAGGACAAAGATCTCTTGGTTCTGATTGGTCAATTACATGCTACTCTCTTCGAGTAGAATTTTGGAATATGAGGTTACATCCAGAAATATTACCGAAGTATTCTTATGTGTCATTTTATCCTTGTTTAACATTCGGCGAATAACAAAGATAAAACGATGGGGAATTTGGGTGATGTTTCTGGACGTAGGGTGATGTTTCTGGACGTGGAGCCTAGGGTGACGCTTGTGCGGGTGTGCACACACGTGGCCGGCTACGCCGTTTCGTTCTATTCAGTCCTATTCCATGAGCAGTCTGGGACAGTCGTAAAGAGGTGACAAAGAACATTGTTCGTGTTCGTTGAAACTTATGTTGGTCTGAAATCGTTTGGGGGCACCATACATTTGTTTCCATTGACTAGCTCCAACGATCACGTGTTACGTTCAGATCTACCGGTGAAAATTCGTTTTGGACGAAGTACAAGCTTAACATCTGCGTGCTCGACGATGGCAGATATAACAGTGAACGTAGGCATCACACGGAAGATGTCTTTCGGCATCAATGGCAAGCTCAACGGTGTCGAGAGCAAGACGCCCTTCCTCATAGGCGTCTCCGGTGGAACTGCGAGCGGAAAGGTATCTACATTAATGCGTGGAATACAGTTTTACAATATATAATAAGAACAACTGAATTAGTTTTGTTAAAAGAAACACGTGCTGATCAAATTTCTAGTTTACAGAAAGTTCTCGCATTCTGCTTTTTTATTTCACATATATTATTTTAGAATCACGATAGATTACGATTCATTATAATATTAATAGATATTTATTATGAAAGTAAATTAGTCAGTTTTCTCTCTATGTAAATGTATATCATGTTTGGAATACAATTTACAATATATCATAAAAATAGCTAATTTAATTGTTGTAAAAGAGATATGAGTTGTGCTGACCAAATTTTTGAAAAAAATTTATAAGGAGCTCTCAGATTCTACTTTTATTTCATGTATTATTTTTGGATTTATTTTATGATTATAATCATTATAATGTTAATAGTTTCTATTGTGAAAAAAAATTGATCAGTTTTTATTTTATATTAAAACATAAAGCATTATTTAATATAATTAACAATTATTATAAAGATTACTAGATTGTATATATTAATATGCTATATTTATTTTAGTCTACAGTATGTAAACGTATAATGGAAAAACTAGGGCAAGTTGATATGGATCATCAACAGCGTCGTGTGGTTTGCATATCGCAAGACAGTTTTTATCGAGATCTAACATCTGCTGAGAAACTAAAAGCTGAAAAAGGACAGTACAATTTTGATCATCCCGATGCCTTTGATGATGATCTAATTTTACAAACACTACAGGATATACTTGCAGGTGTCAAGTGTGAAATACCAGCTTATGATTACAGGACAAATAGTTTGTATGTACTACGCTATTTATTTAAAAATTATTTTTATATTGTAAAATATGGATAAATATCTCTGAAAAGCTAATTACAATAGAACTGCTAAAATCAAATATAAAAGGAGAATTTATGAACTTGTTTTAGAATGAAAGATCAGATTACCACGATATACCCTGCTGATGTTGTATTGTTTGAAGGAATACTGGTATTCTATTTTCCTAAAATCCGAGATTTATTTCACATGAAATTGTTTGTGGATACTGACTCTGATACCAGACTTGCAAGAAGAGGTAATTGCCTAAATAATTTTATTAAATAACATTTATTACATTTCTGTTCATTTCTTTAGTGCCAAGAGATATAAAAGAACGTGGAAGAGATTTGGATTACGTTCTGAATCAGTACATGAACTTTGTAAAACCAGCTTTTGAGGAGTTTTGCTTACCAACAAAAAAGTTTGCGGATGTCATAATACCACGGGGAGCAGATAATACAGGTAATATATTATTACTTAACACTATTTTTATTATAATTATTATAATTATTTTGCCCTTTTGCAACTTAATATTCATTAATGGATTTATTGTTTGGGTTTAGTGTGTTTGTCAGATACATTAAAAAAAATCTTTTGGCTTCTAATGCATTCTATTATATTATTTTGTACATTCATATTTTATTTTAACTACTCAAAATTACTCAAAATTTACTAAAAGTTACTCAAAATTAATTTTTTCAAGTTTTCTTTTTGTAATTAACTCATAATTTTTAAATATATTTTTAATAATATGTTTTATTATTATGATTACTTATTATATTATTTGTGATATTCAGAATATATATGAATGTTCCAGAACTGTTCTCTCTCTTCTCAATTGTAGAATCTAAAAAATAAAAGAATGAAATAATAGTAAAAATGAAAACAAATTTGATTTTACAAGTATTAATAAAAAAATATCAATTATTGATAAAAATAATGGTTTGAATTAAAAGTAATTAAGTATTTTTTTGCAAAGATATTTGTAATAAAAAATTATATTGAATAACAAAATATATATTTAGTAACTATAATAATACATATTTTAACTTAAAGAAAACTTGAAATTTTAAATCAGGTAACAATAGAGATATATGATAATTTAACACAGAAATGCTTTCATGTTTGCAGTTATCTATATGTAGGAAACTATTATGCAATAATTATACAGTTGTTATAATTGTAAAAATATGCAATTGTACTATATAAAACTTAAATGTATACGTCAATTAATTATTTACTAATAATTGATTGGTATATATTTCGAAATTTTATAAGTGTAATATGAAATAATTTACACGGTTCTTTTTATTTTCTTATTTGTACATTTAAATCACATCCGTTCAACTTGTTCATACCTGATGGGTGCTGCCTGGTATGCCGTGATTGTGGATGTCAGAGCTACACCTACTTAAACTAAGCGAAAGTTTAAGAGAAGGAGAGAGCATATCTCACGGGAAACCTATATGGTCTGGTTGTTGTATGTTTGCAGTGGCAATAGATCTAATAGTGCACCACATCTGGGATATTATGCGTTTGAAAAAGGCCGAAAACTCAGCCGGGCAGCATCCATTCCTCTACCAGCGTAGGCGTACCTCGGCCTCATCCGACACGCTCAGCAGATGACTTAAGCATGATAAGCTCACTTTATCAAACACTGCATTTTTCTTACATCATGCTCTTATGTATGACTGAACTCTGTGCGACATTTCCAATCCTTCTTCTAATAGATTACGGAGAAGTAATGTCCGTTTTTGAACGCAGGATTATTCATATCTAGATCACCAATTAGATAACAAATAGATTGATAGATCTATTAATATGAATAAAATGATTAAGAAAAGAAAAAATCAATACAATAAATACTTTTGCTATATAATATTTATCATTAGATTGGATTTTTATCTCTGTTGAGATTGATCAAATAATTGTGACAAGTATTACATTTTTATACGAGACTTAATATTTGTATCAACTAATGTCTAAGACATTAATTATATTTTATTTTTGCTGTGGTATTTTCAAACGCTAGATTATATATCAATTAAATACGAAATTTCTTTGATAATTCAAATTTTACATAATAGAAACGGACATTGTTTACTCATTTGTTATGTATAATTTTTGAGGGATTACATCTTGCACTTATATGGCGAAAGAATGGTGCTTTTTATACATATTTTATTCTGAATGAATATATTACCATGAATTAAACTTCAAGTCTTAAATATCGAAAAATGCATGAAGTTTATAAATCTATTAAGAAATAAGCAAGTTTGACAACAAAAGGGTTGACAACAATATAGTCAACACAACTGAATTTTTAATTTTTCAACTTCGGATTTGATTTTAATATTTTTTATTTGAACTTTTTTTTAATTTCTTATATTATCAAAGAGTATATTAGCATCAGCTTAGCTTCTTCATGTCTACTTATTGAAAAATATCATGTTTTTAGATTTTTTATATGGAAACTATAGTAAATAAAACTAAAGTAATTTACTATAGTCATAATAAATCATTTAGATATTGAAAAAAAGGATAGAAATCACTTCCTTGTTAAATTTTTTAATGTGTTGATTCATATTTTTCAGAAATTAAGGTTGGTTTTTTGTGAGAAATATAAGGATTAAAATAAAAGCAAAAATTTAGAAATATTCACTGATCTCTTGAGAAAATTGAAAATTCAGTATTTATAAGATAAATTTTCCTATTAATTTGTATGTTTGTACGTTTAACCCGGTAATCGTTGCAAGTTATTATTACTCAAAACCACATCATCTAACTGTGTGTAGTCACTCCATTTTCTTGACAAACATCTCAAGTATTACACGACAAAAACAAGTAATATATGTATGTGGGATATTGTATCTGTGATATGTATGCTCATGTGTATATGTTTGTATGTTATGTATAAATGTATCTCGAATATCACATACATTTCAGACTTCTTTATAAGACATTCGATTTCTGACGACATATATATATGTTTTGCATTTGCATTTGCATTTGCATTTTGCATAATATTTTACGATGTAAGCATACAAATATCCACTAGCATAATTATCTAAAATGCAATTTGTGTAATTTAGATGTATTAATATCTCGAAATATTTGTCTATTACACTCTATGTTATTAATTCTCGTACTTCCATACATGAAAGCACACCGAATATGCTCGAATTGTTAGTTCCTTTCTTTACAGCAATAATTTTTTTGAGAAATTTAAAACTAGTTTTATTAGATAACACGATTTTTTTTTAATTAGCATAATTTGCATCTTCTTATTTTTAATAACAAATAATTAAGCTTTTACTGAAGTTAAAATCCTTCAGTTCCTTGATTTCTGAATTTACAATTTTTTAAATTTATTATATATAGTTTAAGTTCTTGTAAATTTTCTCAAATTCTCGAATTTGAGGTATTGATTCTTCCTAATCTATACCAATGAATATTTGTAATAGAGACCGAAAGTGTGTGTATGTGTGTGTGTGTGTGTGTGAGAGAGAGAGAGAGAGAGATAGAGTACAAGTTCTGGAACTTTATATTGCATATGTTGTTAGTAAGAAGAAAAACTTCTTGTATTTACAAAATGGTATATGACACAGATGTCTTATGCATAATAAAATCATATAATCATAATGTGATCGCAATTATTATTTACAAAAATAACAATTTCAGAAATCTATTAGCAATTTGACATCTCAAGATGTATGCAATGCAAATAAAACAATTTATATCCCTAATGTATCACGCATATTTGCGATTGCACATTGACATTTCGTGATCTGTTGCAGTGGCGATAGATCTGATAGTGCAGCACATAAGAGACTTCTTAAGCAACCGAGGTAGGCAAATGGCAGAACCTGAAAGTCCAATAAGCAGGATAGAAGGATTATTCAAGAGACCGCATTAATCTTTAAAACTTTTAATACATTTTAGAGTGATTTAACCGAATCATCATTTTATCTCCTTTTAATACTCGGATACATATTTTTTTAATTAATTTTAAAGAATCTTTTCTAATCAATGTTTTAACAATATTTCTTTTCATTTGCACTTTAATAGTATTATTTAAATGAAAAATTATTAAATAATGGTAAAACTAAAAGTTTATATTTAGACATTTACATAGAATACACAAGGATGTGATCAAAATATGTAGCAAAGCTGCAAGAAAAAACATAGGCAGTAAAATAGACATGCCCAATAAGGACTAATTTCCCTTTCGTCTTTTAGTGTGATCTATAATTCACTTTACTTTTGACACTATACTTTTGATCTCCTATATATGCGAGTTGCAAAAGGCACTAATATCAAATGGTATATATCACTGTATGTGATACAGCCAAAACTATCATTAATTTGTAGAATTTAGAAATTGTTAAAATATAGTGATATTTATGAGGCTTGTATGACATGAAAATAGAAATTATTTTCCTTGTTGACATTTGTGATCGTTTAATATTTTATATTTAATCTTTTATTCTTATATATGTACACATTATATTTAAACATAGAAAAGAAAGTGACGTTTAATAATCATGGCATTACAATATTAAAAGCGCTTATGTGTAATGTTATTTTATCTATATTTATTGATAGTATAGCTCTAAGTTCATGCCGTCATGTATCTCATCTAAGACAGTGCATTAAGGAAAAATTATTCCTTAAGAAAATAAAAGATATGTTATTATATGTTAAATAAAGATATGTTATTTTAATAAAGTATTTTGTCTCAACTCAGTTGTAAAGGATACAGTCTTGCAACTTTATGTGATCCTTGAAAATAGTGTACCACTTCTTCAACACGATCTTCTCCCAGTGCGTTCCCGTCTGGGCGGCTATTAATTTTTTCAGATCTCCTATAGTGTCGTCTGGGTTGCACTTCACTCTAACCTTCTTGCCGAGTCGATCGTTGCATGTGATCTCTAACATTTTTGTTATTATACCTGAAGATAATTACTTTAATATTATAAGGATAACAATATTAGCGTCCGAAATTTGTCTACCTTTAATTGACTCATTATGTTTTGAAAATTGAGAAATTATGGGTATGTTTACAGAAAATCGTGTAATCCAAATATCGTGAGAAAAAAATCTCGCACTTACCGTTGCTAAGAAAATCGCGTTGTCAAAAACCCTCGCGATTTCTCGTGAAAGTACAAATGACGGAAACAAGTTCAAGTTTTTTCCTCTCAAGAAAAATCGAAGCAAACAGGTCGCGTGTTTTTGAGGTTAGAGAAAACACCGATTAAAGCAGAGAATGATCAAATTGAAAGGATTGCTCGACCGATAACAATGTCACTGACTTTACTCGCGGCCAGCAAAGATGATCTAGGGTCAATTGACGTCAGGGAGCTACGTTCTAAAATTCTACTCGATAAGTAGAGTAGCATTTAATTAACTGATCAAAAATCTTTGTTTTTTTTATCCTAATTAGTCAACTAAATATTGCTCTACCCATCGAGTAAAATTTTGGAACGTAACCGGGGATGATTTACCGCCATGTCGCATTCTGTCAGATAGGCTAGCTATGTTATGCGCTGCACGGGACGATATCTATCCTCGACAATGCCATGTTGCTATGTTATTACGAGGAAGATAGAGCGTTCGCGCTTTTCACCACAACAAGGGCCATTGTACGACGAGTAACGCTCGCGCGCCACCAAATCCGATGGCAAAACCGGAGCGGCTTCGCTTTACGATTCTGGATGACTTGATACTTTTGCGCGAGGTCTCGAAGCAGAATCCGTATGAGGAGAGCGACAGATGGAAAACCGTTGCCGAGCGCGTCGTGACCGCGACGCAAAAGAACTTTAGCTTGCGCTGCGTGAAGGAGCATGTTGACCATTTACTGAAAATCTGGGCCAGAGAAGGTCGCGCGCACTTGAGGAAGTAAGCAAGAGTCGCTGTTTTATTATATAAAATGTATTGTGATACACACTAGACATGTCATTAAAATAATCTTGTTAGTTGTAGCTTCTCTATCAAAAGATAACTTTTTATTCTTTATTCACTTGTTGAAAAGATATTTATTGAAATCCTTTATTACGCTTATATTTTCTACAGATCGGGAACTGAAGAACAGTATAATGAAAAGGAGGGACTCCTGCAACAGGTACAAGACTTACAAAGAGAATTCAGGCGTTCTGGCAAAAACACTGGTTTTAATGTACACAAATCAAGAACACAAAGGGATGTGACTTTAGAAAATATTTCTGATACTTTAGAAGTGATAATAGAAGAACCAACAGTGATAACGTCTATACCCTCCTCCTTCCCGTCCTCCACATTGCTACCGATTGCTTTGCCATCGCCAACTTCATCATCTTCGTCATCGTCATCAACTCCATTAACCTCAGGAAGCCCGCTACAATCACCACCCACGTCACCATCAAGAACGGGTGGCCCAATAAGGAACAAAGTGCGTCACGATGCATTGAAAAAATCGACATTGCAATTTCTGCAAGAAAGACATAAAAAAGAGATGGAATTTCAAGAAAAGCAATTCAGATTAGAAGAGAGAAGGATTCAGCTTGAGGAAGAAAAATTCAGAATAGAAAAAAAGGAACGTGAAGTAAGACTTGAATTGGAAATTGAAGAGAGAAGACAAAAAATCGCTGTATCTAAACAGAAACAAGAGATTTTGGAAATATTGTTACAATTAATACATAAACCTTGATTATTTTTATAAGTGACAGCTTTTTTGTTTTATTGATTTATAAATAAAATATTGTTAAAACAAGTGATTATTTTACTTTACAATATATAATAAGAACTAGATAATATACAATAAGAAGAGAAATTTTGATTGAGTAAAACATTTACTTCAAGTTTAGTAACGTTACAAACAAGATTAAATGGTTTGTTTACTGCGAAAAGACGGCGATAACTAAAAAATAATATATTAGAATAAATTAAATATGATTATATACTGCTTTTTAACATGGGATCTACAGCGGATGGAGGACACTAAAATAATGAAAAATGTTCATAAACATATCCTATTCAACTTGTTTCAGAATTATAATTTTATTTTTGTATTTCAGTAATATATAGTTGTTTACTTTTACAAGAGATATTCGAAACAGCCATCTTCGCTCTACAAGCTTGTAGTCGTCGTGTTTCAAAGTATCATTCTTTCAAAAATTCCAGGTATATGTCGGATCTGTTGACAACCTTGTTGTATGCGTTCACGAAGTATTTCAACATTGGCAATGGGTGTTGAATAAACAATTATTTTTAAGTGGCTCCATAAGTAAAAATGTAACGGATTTAAATCTGGGGAATGAGCAGACCAGGCGATAGTTCCCGCAGAACCCCCGCAGGATCCATTTGTTAAGAAATCGTTCGTTTAGGAACTATCTGATAACTTGGTTAAAATGTGACGATGCACCATATATAAACTATACGTTATATATAATATCAAGTGAAACTTCTTCTAATAGTTTGTTCAAATGATTTTTCAAGAAATTAACGTAAGATTCATCTGTTAATTTCTCATAAAAAAAAAAATAAAATAAAAACAGGTCCGATCGCCAATTATTCCTGTCCATACATTTACACTGAATAGGTTTTTTTCAGTCCAATGATGACAAACATTATGAAAATTAATAATTTCTAGTGAATATAGTTTTATTAGTAAATAATACAGCAGATAAAAAATATTGATTAGCGATAGACTTCCGCAGGAACGAGATACAAAAATGAACTCTTAAGTTAAATGAACTCTTAACTTAAAGGAAAATCTTAAAGGAAAATCATCTTCTTTAAATGCCTGAACACGTTGGACATAATACGAATAAAATTGTTGATCTCGTAAAATTTTCCACGTTGTAATGTGTCCGACATTTTGTATTATTATTAATCTTCGGTTATCGTTGCCATCATTCTCTTCACTGTGATTCAAAATTTGTTCTTCAAGATTAACAGTTCTGATGCTAACTGATTTACCATTATTTGATATTCGCTTTTTAAACGAACCTGTATCTCGTAGACGTTCATGTAATTCTTGAAATATTTTCTTATCTGATAGATGTCTATTAGGAAAACGATTTGCGCATAAATACCGTGCTACGGCTGGATTACATTCGGCAAGTCCATACATTAAATGTATGTCTGTTATTTCCTGATTTGAATACTCATCCATTATTATTTCTGCCGAACAGCAAATTAAATGGTCCTATCAAGAGAGCGAATTGAATTAAATTCAATGAACAAAATGGGCTTGCTCTTTTTAACTGAACTTTTTGCACAATTCATCTTTTGTCTTTTTCTTTCTATTTATCTTTCTTATTAGAAAAAAAGGAGAAAAACTGATCGATGCAACAAGTTCAGCTAGAAGAACAGATCTAATGTGTGAAATCAATAAATGAAATATTTGGATGATAAATATCAAATATTGTTTACAGATCGAAAATAGTCATTTCGAACATTTCTTATGAAAGTAAGCAGCTATATATTACTGGAAACATGGTAAAAGTAATATATTCTGAAACATGATCGAATAGAACATATATATGTTTATATAAACTTTTTTATTAGTACTTCCCATTCGCTACTAAAGTAAATCTCAGAAATATATTAAGAAATACTCTGTATATATAAATTTAATTATTAAGAATTGAATTTAATTATATCGAATTAAATTTAATTTAAATATACATATTTGTTATATAAACCTATTTATCCTATTAGACCATAATTTTGACAAAAGCTCAACAGAAGTCCTCGATAGTATAGTGGTTAGTATCCCCGCCTGTCACGCGGGAGACCGGGGTTCGATTCCCCGTCGGGGTAGGTTTTTTTTTATTTTTATTCATTATCGTAAGAATAAAAGATTTATTAATCTATTATCATTTGCATTGTTAACAAATAATAAAAAAAATTTACTATTAAATTAATTATTGTAATTTTATAGAAAGTTTCAAATGAGCGTAGCATAAACGTAAAGGTATCTTTTCATACCAACATTCAATGTTCATTTTCAACAAAATAAATTGAGAACGTCTTGTTTAACCATGAATTGGACACGTCCATTCACTTCAACCGATATTTAAAAATTTTTTATTGGACTACCTATCAAAGGGTCTAATATTTAATCGACAACGTGACAATCGGGCGCCATTCATTAAATTATTAATGAATTTTAATCGAGAAGGATTATCTCAGTTTACTTCACGTTTCATTTCATTTCTTTTTAACTTTTGAAACTAAAGAAAAATAAAAAGTAAATTAAAATTTATCTGATAAGAGAATAGATATGAGAAATCATCAAATGTTGAGCTGGTATATATATACTATATATTTTCAGTACTGGCAGTGATTCAGAACGCAGCCTAGAAGTAGAGCAATTGATATGATATTCGTTACGTTCATGATTTGAACATAGGTCGAAGCTCATCAGGACGTTCCGGAAGATGGCGTGGATTATGCGCGCGCAACGCCAGCTATATCCCGTGCGGTTGAGCAAGCGTGGCTAATCAAAGCACCAAAAGGTAAGCCGTGAGGGCTGTTTATTTTGGTTTTTCGTCGGGTAGCTGTGCTCCGCGTCGGCAATTTGCACGAGTAATGCGCTTCCTGGCCGCGTCGGACCGTGCATCGTGCTCGAAAAACAGCTGACGAAGCAGCAATGACCACGGAACGTAGGTGTGAACGCGCCGGACGGGCCGTACTTGTCGGGCATCTTGCCTACGTAAGCGAGCTCCATTGCACCACCCCCGCGCTACTCCGTCCCCCCTCCCGTTTATACGTCCATCCGTCCGTACGTCTGTACCGTCCGTACGTCCGCTGCTCTTCGCCTCTCTCTTACCCCCCCCCCCTTCCTTTCGTTTCTCCGAATATCCTGCCGTTCGCGCCGCTCTAACCAATTCTGCTGGTTCGCGCAATGTGGACGCTGATAGTCGCCGGCGTCGCCGATGTCGACGATGACGCGTTCACGCACCGTGTGTAGAAGTCAACGAGCGAACGGGAAAGCGTGACGTCCACGAGTACACGAGCAACCTCTTCTCATCGGCCATCGCCTTTCTCCTCGCCCACTACGCCTACCGCGCGAACACTTAATAACGGGATTCTCCCTACGGTTTCTTCTGCCGCAGGAAAATGAGCAGCTCCGAGGAGGTGTCCTGGATCTCGTGGTTTTGCGGTTTACGCGGGAACGAGTTCTTTTGCGAGGTGAGTGATTTGACCGCGCCTCAGCGTTGAAGGAAACCCGACGTTATGTTTTTTTCTTTGTCTTTTTTTTTCCAAATGGAATCAAATTTTATTCTGACATCTCGTTAACACAAGTCGGCTTTGGCTCAATAAATGGGAATAAGAAATCAGATATAAAGAATTAAGAATAGGAAATTACTACTGAGTCCAATAAAAAAATACTTATTTTTTGATTCTGCATTTTATAAAATGTTGTTTCTTATATATTGTATACAATTTAATTTTCTATTTCTGATTTTGTATGTTTAATTTTTTATCTCTCTTCTTTTTTATCTCTTTTGTTATGTCTGAATATTTGTTTATAAAATAAAACTAAAGACAAAATAGAATTTATGAGAGTGTGAAGAATACAAAGAACATTATTCTATTTTTCCATGATATATATGATATATATATATATTTTATATATCTTATTGCATGATTTGATGTAATATCATAGTATATTACTAATTTTTTCCAGTGATAATATTATTGTCTTAAGAATTGATAAGATTTCATTGTATTTATTTATTTCATTTATGTCACATATAGGTGGATGAGGACTATATTCAAGATAAATTTAATTTAACGGGACTGAATGAACAGGTACCACATTATCGTCAAGCATTAGATATGATTCTTGATCTTGAACCTGGTAAGTTGATAACTGTAGTAAACTGAAAGTCTATTTTTTTATTGTTATATTGGATTGCACTAAAATTTTCTTTCATTAATCCTTAGATATATATCTATTTTTTATTTAGAGTATAACCAATGTAATTCAGCTATAAAAAATAGACTTTGAATTACCAATTACATATATATTATAAATAAATTGAAAATAAGAAGAGACATACATGAAATATGATTACTTTTCCTGATGCTCATTGTTTAATTTATTATATGTTTATTAGATGATGATCTGGATGATAACCCAAATCAATCAGACTTGATCGAGCAAGCTGCAGAGATGCTCTATGGTCTCATTCATGCACGTTACATACTTACCAATCGTGGCATTGCTCAGATGATTGAGAAATATCAAGCAGGCGATTTTGGTCATTGTCCACGAGTTTATTGTGAATCCCAGCCAATGTTGCCACTGGGTCTTAGTGACGTTCCTGGTGAAGCAATGGTCAAGAGTTATTGTCCCAAATGCATGGATGTATATACACCGAAAAGCTCGAGACATCATCACACTGACGGAGCATATTTTGGGACAGGATTTCCACATATGCTATTTATGGTTCATCCCGAATATAGACCAAAACGTGCAGCAAATCAATTTGTACCTAGGTAAGTGTCAATTAATATGTAATGATAATAAATTAGTACAATAATCAATTGTATGACAAGAAAGGAATAAAGTTTAAAAAACTATCTTTGTAAAAATTATAGATTAAACAAAAACATTTTTATAATAAATGGATTATTTAAATGTGCAAATAAATTAAAGAAACACACACTTATATTATTAGAAATATAATATTAAAATTTTTAATTTTCTATAAATTTTCTGTAGATCAATCTAATATCTTTCGAATCATCTATTTCCAATTTTCAATTCTTAATATTTCATATTCTTCTAATGATTTATCTCAAATATTTGTCGGTATTGTTATAGAAAAAAAAATCGTAATTAACGTAATCGTTAAATAGGAAACATAGATGTATCATATTTAATGTTTAACGTTAATCACTATTTTTAACGATAGTAGTATATTTCTACATTATATTTAATCAAACATTTATTATCGTAGTATTAAAATAAAAATATTAAATCTTTAATTTGAAAACTTAATTTTTTTGCATATATGGAATAAAATCTAAAAATTAAAAGATGATTTCTATTTTGCAGATTATATGGCTTTAAAATTCATCCTGTAGCATATCAGATCCAACAACAATCTGCGTCCACGTTTAAAGCACCGTTACGAGCTCTCAACTACAATAACGGAAAACGTTAAAATTATTTTCGGGATAGCCTAGAATACTTCCTTTCATTATTCGCAATTCCTATGTTCGTCCTTGAAGATTTAAATAAAATATTTTTTATATCTCTGTTTCCTCAATTGCCGCGCGAAGGAGACATATTCTGAGATCGTTCATAATTTTTTGATTCATTCATTGTCTCGTCCGCTCTTAAATTCGTTCTTGACATTGTACGAAAAGACAAAAGGAAAAAAGAAAGGGAAAAAAGCGAGCGTTTAGTTTCCTCGTGTAAAATCGTTTTCGTAAAGATCCAATATGTTTGTATAGAAATTTTGAGCATTATTCATTAAAGGATAAAAGAAAGGAGAAGGAAAACACGCTTAGAATAATTGCTAGATCATAAATAAGAAAAGAGGACGATTATAAATAGAACACACACCCATTTTGTACGAATCGCTTGCGTCACCATATTTGCTGCCAAGTAGTTCCTAAACATGTGCAGGAGCGGACTTCCTAAGGAAGTCAAGAAGCGAATAGTACTGGGATTTACATTGGTTCTTTTCAAGACGAGAAATAATGTATAAAGAAGTATAGCTGTTAAGTATAACTTAATTTAATCGCCGAATAATTTGTGCGCGAACTGTGACAGAAACGATTCATTAATATATAATTACATATAGATAATGAATTTACAATTTACTTTAATAAAAATTTTCAAGCTTAAGACGCACGAATTTCAGAAACGAAGACTGCAGTTTTCTCTGGTAGGGAGAAAGAGAGAAAAAAGAAGGAGAAAAGTAAATTAATTTCGGTTTCTATCACAGTTCTCAAAACATTTTTATGGATATTTAGCGTTGATGGGAAGACAATTAGATTGGGAAGGCGACTAGAAGATAAAATTCTGTGTACGATTTTTAGCATACAGCAGTGAAATTAACAGGTAATGTTCTCTTCATTTCGTATTTAGTGCAATCACTTGCGACAAAGTCAAATAGATTTCATATCTCCGAATCAGTTGGCATTAAGGAAAACTGTTGTATTGCATTTTTATTTAAATTAAAATATGATTTATTTACACTTTTTCTTTTTCTTCCATACAACTACGATCGAATTAAAAACATTTATATAAATATATAATTATATAAATATATAATTATATAAATATATAATTATATAAATATATAATTCAATTAATTTCCATTGCTGTACATTGTTAATTACATTTATATACACAAATTATTAAATTATATTTGTCCATAATTAATATCTCATAAATACATAAATTTTTATGAAGATTTGATAGTTATTGTAATTGTTTGATTCACTTTTTAGTTATTACATGTTTTATTACATCTGGTTGATAACATTTTCATATTTGTATGGTCTCCATTATGTTAATTTAGAGCGAGATGAATTTATTTTAAAGAGAGGCTTTTTGAAAGAATATTTTCAATACATTTACAACATAGATATAAGTACAAAAATTCTTTGGAAAATTAGCCAATTAATCTCGAACTTTCATTACACAAAATATTTTAAATTAAAACTTTTATTAAAAATAAATCATCAAAAAAACAACTGTTGATCTCAAATTTATATATAAATAATAATAATAATTAATAATTTAAGATAACATAAGAGCGTATAAATAACGCATTTGATTGTCCCGCTAGCACGGCGTTCGTAAAACATTCTTGTTGTTGCCTATGACGCCCTATTGTTCAGTTGTCCCTAGGCACTAAACCAATCGGCATTTGCAAATTCAAATACGTGCGGTCGCCGACCGGTAGAATCGAAAGCGTTCAAGTTTAAAAAGCAATGTGCAGAAATGGTGATGTCGTATAACGCAGCTTAAGTAAAATCATCGTATAGTGTAAATGGCATTCTCGACATGACGTGCCGACGGGCTCGCAATGTGCGTGCATAGCCTGCCTTCCTTCGATCGATAATTCGCATGGATCTACGGAGATTGCTCAGTTTGACAGGTGCTTCGTTTATCACCAGCGAGAACATTCAGATTCTCGTGCTCGCATTGCTAGATCGATTATTAAAGAAATATAAGTCTGACATTGAACATGTCGACAGACTTGTGAGACGCTGCGAATGCCTTTTCAGGTAATTATTTACTTCGAAGATTTGCGTTGATCACAGAGATTTTATGTATGTAGACAAAGAACGGAAGAGGGAAAGAGAGAGAGGATGTGAGAGAAAAATAAGATTTGGAATTAGAAATTGGTTTCCATTACTAATTTGTTTATAAGAGAACCATGACTAAATAATATTTTAATAATTAATATTTTCCAATTAATATTTTATCAAGTTCACTTTGTATTCCAAGTTTTTCTAATGATATAACTTTTTATATAAATATATTAAAGTAGTCACAATTGCAGGAATCTTTGATTTTTTTTGTAATTGTCCTTTTCTATATAGTTATAATTTATTGTAAATTGATATTGCATTGCTAAAATATACTGCTTTTTCTTTATAGATCGGTGAAAATTATCTTAAAAGTTCCTTGATAATGTCACATCTTACGACAAACAATAGTTTTGATAATATGAGTTCTGGTAGATTGCCAATACAGAACATCCCAAAGTTTCAGCCAGTTCGTGTTAAAGCACTTTTACATTTATATGAAAATAATGAAGATGATGATAATGATGAGAGTGAGGAAAAAACTCAAGAATCTGAAGATGAATTAGATTTTGACGAGCCATATCTTCTGCCACAAGATGATTCAGCTGAAGATGTTCTATGCGAGAAAACACTCGCATCTAAAACAAATATTAATTCCTCGTCATTTGAGTCAACAGATGGAGTCTCTAATATGAAATGCTTATCGTCAAAAGAGAATTGTATAGTAACTGATACTCCTTCTATACAAAGAGGAACAAGTTTTACAGCTAATAGAGATGAATACAGTGTAAATTCTGACAGACGAATAAACAGTCTAAATTCTGAAAGCCATTTACCAATTAGTGATTCGAATAAACTAGAGATTCACAGCTCAAAACATGAAGAGAAGACACAGGAATATCACAATGGTACATTTACTTCAAGGAGTCAATCTGATGTTGCTCATAATCGCTCGACAGAAGTGACCTTACCTCCATCATCTCTGTTAGTTTATAAAGGAGATTATAACAAATTTGATACAAATAAGAATCTGCAACTATTGAATAGCAGTCAGTTGCATCATGAAAATGCTTATATGTCAGATATATCACATAAAAGAAAAGAAGGATCTATATATAGCTCATTAGCAGAGAATAAGACATTATTAACAAGAAATAGTGAGTCAAATTTAAGCAAAGATAATCAACGATATAAAAGCAAACACAGCTTTATCGAGCAGATGAATAAGGATTGTGAAGGGGAATCTCATAAGATTCCAAGCACTCTATCAGAATCTGCCACCTGCATACAAACATCCGAAAACATGATGCATCCTGTAAGATGTAATTTGCAGAAAAGCATCGCGAAATACGAAACAAATGAAAAATATACACCTGCGAAAAATACATACACGGAATTTGATACACCTTCGTTGAGTGAAATAGGCAAGCCGTTAACCATGATTAATTGTTTAATATCGGAAACTCCAATGAAGCATGCACCGATTAGTATGCACCCTAATCCCTGCACATCACATAAACAACTATTTCAAACCCCACAAAACAAACTGTCTGGTGGTTTGAACAAGAGTCATGTTCAAACACCTTCTACGATATTATCCAGTTGGCATCATAACATGAGACAAACTCCAATGGAAGGAAAAAATCTTACAAAAGATCATATGCAAATGTCTAGAAACGCAATTTGTACACCCATTATAGAAAAAGATTCGAGGTTTGTTACATTGTAATATTTTTGTATTATAAATAAATATATTTAACTTATTTAACAATAGGACTGTCCCTGTTTATTTTTACAAAATTTATATTATATTATAAATATTGAGACATATTTTGATAAAAAATAAGATTTTTGTTTGGAATTTGATTTTTATTATACTCTTTACATCCAAAACGAAATGCTATTCTCTCGTACAGATTTAAATAATAGTAGATAATATTAATCTTAGATTATATTATTTAGACACTTTGGAATAGATGCCAAGAATGTGAGACGACCTTTATCAGATGCTACATTTTCACATGGTGAATCCTTGGACTCAAAACCGCTTCTGTTGCATGCACAAGCAAAGAACGTCACATCTGAATCACAACAGGAGGATAGAAGTAAGAAAATGATTGGATTGTCGGATGCGAAATTAATGCAAACAGAAATAAATTACAACAATGGTAAACACTATAGTATGGATAAAATTATATTTAATTAAATTTAAATTATATGATTGTATTTTGTTATGTGTTAAGTTGTCATTGCATTCAGATTTGAAACCGGCGAAATCTATCGAGGAAACAAAGGAGAACAAACAGTACGATATATCCGATACATTACTAGGAAGTGGTAAAAAAATTATGCAGAATAAAAATGAAAGCAAGCAGACGATAATCGGTTCCAATACAAACATAAAGTTAGTACAGGATTCACAAAAGTATAGCGGGGAGCATAACGTTGCATCGAATGCAGACTGCAAGGATCCACATTATTCAATCCGTGAGAAACAACGCAAGGAACAGCTACAAATCATTAATGAAATGGCAAATGTACAGTTCACGATATCGTCGAGCATTCCCTCGCAACGGCAAGGCAAAACTTTGATTGTAAAGGACAAAGAGTACTTGATCCTAGGCTCTCTTGGCCGAGGAATGAGTGGTGAGGTTCTGCGAGTGCAGGATATATCCTCCGGCGAGTTACGCGCCATTAAATGCGTTAACTTGAGCAAAATGGACAAGGAATCGGCTCAGGGCTGTTTGGATGAGATTTGCATGTTGCATAAATTACAAGCGCCATGTGTTGTCAGAATGTTCGATTAGTGAGTATATATCGAACACAACATCAATATTTAACTAAAAATATATTATGCTACAAAAACATTTTTGAAAGATCTTAATGAAATTTTATAAATGATATTAATAAAATATCTACTTTAATAAATTTCTTCTTGTTGATTTTATTTTGTTTCAGTCAAATTAAAGACTCTATGGTCTATGTAGTGATGGAAATGGGTGACACTGATCTCAGTCGACTTCTGAAAACTATGTCCCAAGAGAAACAAATTCCTCTCACAATGATTTTGTATTACTGGACTGAAATGCTCACGGCGGTGAAACATATACACGATAATGGTAAAAATAACGTATATAATTATGCTTATGTTTCGTTTTGTATAAAATATATTTTCGTATTTAGGAGTTATCCATTCAGATTTGAAACCAGGAAATTTTTTATTGGTACGAGGCCGTCTTAAATTAATTGATTTCGGGATTGCCTCTAGTGTAAATTCGGACATGACGTCCGTTGTAAAAAATAATCCAATTGGAACGTTGAATTATATTAGTCCTGAAGCCTTAATGGACATTGGTGGAAACGCGGATTCGCCTACGCACAACGTTAAATACAAAGTAAGACTAAACTAAATAATAATTCAAAGATGATTTTTTTCATAATCATTTAAAAAGACATTTCGAGATGATTAAATATATTAAAATATCATTTTAATCAATATCGATCTTAATCTAAAGTGCATAATCTGAATACTTAACTGAATAATATTTTTAATAATGATATTACGTTAAAATTAGACTAGATTGAGATCCATGTTTTTCTCTTTCAACAGATAAGTTTCAAATCAGACGTATGGTCGTTGGGATGTATCTTATACAGTTTGGTATATGGATATACGCCTTTCCAACACATACGTTCTCAGTGGGCAAAGGTAAACGCTATAACTAATCCAAAGCCAAACATTTCGTTTCCGTCCACGAGCGACGAAAACCACCAGGGTTGCGAGCGCGCGCCACCCATTCTGATCGACGTAATGCAGAAATGTCTTCAGCATGACCCGAAAGCGAGACCCACAGTATCGCAACTGTTACAGGTGCAATATGTACCCATTACGCCGAATACTGCAGTAATTTCGGCATCACCTAATATTCCAGGAAATGTCCTCATAAAAATAAGGAATGCTCTGAGCGAAGACGAATGGCGACTATTGATCCAGGTGAGAGCTTCTTGATCCCACCTTTGGATAGATTTTTTTTTTAAATGCAACAAACTATGAAATATATATAGAAACATATTTGTAAAGAATGTCTTTTTAATATAAGAAATAATCTCCATTTGAAGTTTAATATAATAATTATAAATTAAGCTTTAACTTTTAAATAACCTTGCTACTAAAGAAAATTTCAAAAAATTATGAATGTTAATTTTATGTTAATTTTATATGTTGTTATATTTTTGTTATTAAAAGCTATATATGACTTTAGTTTTATAATAAAATGTTACAGTTTATTATACTGAACATAGAGATTGCTGTCTTCATGTTTGTCTGTCCTGATTTTAAGTTTCGTGCGAACTATATACAATATTTAAAAAATGATTAGTTCTAATCTAATTTAAAAGAATAATTTATATAGCACAACTAACTGAACAACAATTAAATTAAAATTAATAACCTATTTTATTATGTTTTCCAGGTATTGGACACAAAGTAGCATCATACATGATGACATTGTAATAATAATAACTTATCGATTAATTGATGTGTACATAAAAGTGTTTGTATATACATGTAAGAGACAATATGCAATGATGCGCAAATATACAGAATCATGAGATATGAAAAAAGGCTAATGATAAGAGTAATATACATATATATATTTAGAAAAAGAGAAATGTAAAAGAGCCTAAATAGATTACAAGTAAACTTGCAATTGATTTACTTGCTTACCTATACGTTGCGAACGTGAAGTTTGTACATCAACAGTATAGCATGAAAGTAAATTAAAAAATTATTAAATTAAATATTTTTCAATTTATTATTTCATGTCCGCGTATACAAATAAATCATTATTCGAAAGCGTTATGATCAGTAAACGACAGAATTGCGAATTTTGCAAATTATATATAATAATTATCAATTATCACGATCTCATTATAATATTAATATTATAATATTTTATAATATTAAAAGAATCAGTAGCTTCAACTCTTTCGCTGCGCTGTCCAGAAATTAATTCATTTTAGAAAAATCAAGATTGATATATAAATTATGTTTTTATGTATGGCAAATATGAATTGGCCTACCGATGAATTTCAGTTTTGGCTGCATAATCATCATCATCAAACAGTTTGTTTTATCCACTGTTGAACATAAACCTCTCTTAATAATTTCCATAATTATTATTATTATTTTCATTTATTATTTCGGCCCTGGTGCTCTTAAATCCAGTTTATAGTGATTT